GTCGTGGTGGGGGCAGGGGGGCGATACACCCCAGGTTCCATGCCTGCAGGGGTGACAAGAAGTCACCCCACGGGGCTCGTGGCGGCACGAGCAGCCATCATGCAACCATAGCCGCCTTTGGAGGATCCTCCGTTCGCAGCTGCAGCAGCGAGCAGAGGATCCCAGCGCCAGCAGCAAACCACTAAGTGCAGCGCATGTGCGGCGTTGCACGCATGCGCTGTATGTAGGAACGCTGCACATGTGCTGTATAGCAGTTTGCTGCCGGTGCTGCTCCAGCACTCCATCCTCCGCGGCTGTAGCAGTGCTGGAGGGATCCCGGCACTGTCCGTACAGCGCTGGAGTGGCACTGGCGGCAAACCACTATACAGCGCATGTTCGGCATCACTACGTATGGCGCATGTGTCATACATAGCGATGCCACACATGTGCCCTACATCATAGGTGTCACAACGCCTTCCTTCACCCCTGATTTCACTACACCTGAATTGCATGTAAGCTATGATGAAGCCAGAGGTTTTGAAGCAAAGGATTATAGAATGAAAGGCAGTTTCAGAGGGTGAAAATGTTTCATTAAAACTTCCCAAACCTTACCTGTTTTGCACCAGTTCACTCCTGTTCAGAGTCTCTATCAGTGACATGCTTTGGTTGGAAAAATAACTCTGCTTCTTCCTAGTAACAAAAAGGAAATCGAACCAAGCCTGAGTGTATGACCGTTAACACTGTCACTAGGGAAAGGACTGTATTAAAGCAAAAAGAAATTGCCACTGAAACGGCAGCCACTTGGGGTTAATAAAGAGGTTCACAATGGAGCATTGCCCTGAATGCCAGAAACAGCAACAGGTGACAGTGTGGTCTGCTTTTGCAGCCCCGTCAAACGCAAACAACAAGCACCCCATGTTTGCAATATGCACACCCAATTTCAGCTCCAGGCATAAAACTTCAGGAATCAGATTTGCTACTTTTGATGCTCACTGTTGTTTCCCACCCTCCACCCCACCCTCTCAACAGTTGTGGCTGGGAATGCCCGCCTGGTATGTTGCTGCTTGCCGTGCAAATGTGAAAAGCGGTGCCATTATGTCTGCCTTGTCAGATACTGAAATTCAGAGGGAAATTGGAATCAGCAACCCTCTTCATCGCCTAAAGCTCCGTCTGGCAATCCAGGAGATGGTATCACTCACAAGCCCATCGGCCCCTCCGACATCGAGAACGGTGAGTCACGTTCCTCTCTCACTCACCTAGAATTCAGCCTGAGCATGGAAGTTAGCCATCTGTGGACCTCTCCTTTCTCAGCAAGGCTTGTTTGTCTCATTTGCTTAATAGTTTTATCTTTAGTAATGCTTTCCACCAATTTACCCAAGGCGGACTTTAAGCTAACAAACATGTAATTTCTTGGTTTCCTTTTAAACACTTCTTACCATGCAAGGAGACAGCAAAAATCACGGGATGAGAACATGCAGGAGGTAATGTTTTGGGATTTGATTTTAGTTTCCATTTCCCCACTGTTTTTCCAATGGAAATAACTTCAGCCATTCCCAGATTGGATCTCTGGCACTGTCTCATTCCCAAGTGATCACTGCTAACTCTTCAGGGGTTTGCATTAGTTGTAGAAATGACTCTCAGCAGGCAGACATAGCACAAAGAGATGCTTTTGCTGATATTCAACCGGAGTTGGAGGGCAAGCGTCCCCATGTCCTAAAAGGCATTTGTTGAGGGAGTCATCTGGTGTGTAAGGAACACATTTTCTGTGAAAGTGGCTTTAGCCATGGGCAACCTTTGTTGGGGGGGGGCAAAGCAGTATGAGGGCACCTGGGCTAGTCAGACTAGCAGGCAGCATCAGCACAAAGTCACAATGGCCAGTGTCTCCTGAGGCAGGCAGCAACAATAGTGAGGGCACACAATATTTCTCTCCCACTGAAGTAGGCATGTGTGGCCACAAGTCTCTCTCTCCTGTTGAGCTGGGCAGAAGCAGTGGCATCTGTCGTCTCACTGAAATAGACAGAGATGCCTCAGCAGAGAAGTATGGTTTTTCTCTCCCCCTTTTTTGGTAAGTCCTGCTTCTGGCCATAGTTCAAATTATATTTGGGAGCAGCTTCACATATGAATTTTCCCTACACAGGTTTACAAATTAGTAGGAGAAACTCCATGGATCTAAAAGGTGTGCATGTGTCTGTTTTGTGGAGACATATTGAGAAATCATGATTGCCATGATCCCCAGTGAATTCCATGTAACAAAATAAGGTGAGGGTTACAGATGGGTACATTTGTCTAAGAAATGCATCAGTCCTAAGGTATAGCCAAAGATTAGAACACTAATATAAGATGTGAACCAAGGGCCAATTTTCTGAATTTATTCCTGGAAGAAAAGGCATTATGCTTACAAAAGTACCAAGATGTTGAATACTTTTTTATAAAATGTAGAAATTGCTGGTTCAGTGGGGGCTATTCTTTTCTAGATATGATTTTCAAAAAAAGAATGAATATGGCCTTAACAACCCTTTTAGCTTTCTTTGATATATTTCCTGAAGAAGCAACCCTTGAACTGCGCTTTGAATTTTGCATTGCGCAAAACGTTAGGGGCAACATCTGAGAGCTAGCAAAACAAAACAAGAAACTCTGAGTGTGAGTGTGAGTGAGTGTGTGTGTGTGTGTGTAGGTGTGTAGGCAATGTCTTCTTTTTTCTCCATTCTAGAATAGCCATTTGATGACCCCATGTTCCCTGTTTGCCTCCTAACTGGTTATCTTTTTTAAAATTAGTGCCCCAACCTAGATCTACAGGCTTCAATCTGTGCTTTCCATTTCATGAGGTTTATCATATTAGTTAAAAGGTTTATCATATTAGAAATGCCCTGTGCATATGTATGTAGCCTTTGGGTCTCCAAAGACCTGAAATAGCATACCTGTCTGCTGAAATAAGAGCCACTTCAACATGCTCTATGAGAAGTAGTAACAGTTGTGTTTGGAAATGGCAATCTTACTAGTATTCCTTAATACACATTTAATGGAATTCAGGGGATCACCTCCATATCTTTTTACAAAGTGGAGGAAGATGAAAAGCAGCTGTCTGAAGTTGTTTCTAGCTGCTGCTCAACTGAGGCAAGGACATGGTTGTGCTCATTGTGATGCTGTATGCTGTTAACTTACAGTGTTGCTGCCTTTCTTCTTTAACACTGCTTACCTAATGCGGATTCTACCTGCCTCCCTGTGGGCATTGGCAATAGCCCTCAGGCAATGTTTGGGTGACCCATGAAGAAATGGAAACTCTTGCTGCTCCAGCTAAAACGGTTAGTTTTAACAACAGCTTTTCATATTTACTTCAATGTCAAAGTGTGGATTTTACAGTTATCACTATATGTGAATAAGCTATAGAACAGCTGAATATTGTTTTACACAATATTTATTTGAATTTTAAGCTATGTACACTGAATATTCCGTATATACAAAGAGAATGTCACTGTACAGTTAATGTGTCAGATAATTCATGCCAAAATAAATAAAAACAATAAATAGAGGTGATTCTGAAGAAATGGTCTGGCTTTTCACCAGTTGCCCAGTGCAGCCTGTGTATATTTAGTCAGAAGTAAGTCCAAACTGTACCTAAAGTTGTAGCAATAATCACAATTTTGAATTGTGTTTCTATTAGTTTAATCACTTCGTTCATTTTATTTTCTTGATGCAGCAATTACTGCTGTTTGTTTAACTAGGCTGGACTGGAAATAATTCTCTGTAGTGATATATATTGGCTGAAACAGTCGTTGTAAAAATGTGCATTGATGGCGGGTTGTAATGACAACATAGTGCCCGCATTGCTGACGCAGTAACATGCTTTGTTACATAGTACTAATCCCAGAGATATGATGGCAGACTGTTTACTTAGGACAAATTCACACCATACATTTAAAGCACTATGATACCAGTCATGGCTTCCCCCAATGAATCCTCAGAGTTGCAATTTGTTAAGGGTGCTGAGAATGGTTAGGAGACCCACCTGTTCCCCTCACAGAGCTACAATTCTGAGAGTTCCCTGCAAAGAGAGGTTGACTGTCCATACTGTCAGCTCAGAATTGGCTACCTCTGTCCCATATTCCACCATTAAGTCTGTCCTTATGCTTACCTATTTCCATTACGTGAATAAATCTTCCCAGTTATATTTACACATTCCCCCTCTCCCTGCCAAATATGAAAGCAATTAAGCTTTGAAAGCAATGATAGAAAAAATGAGAATCAAACTGTTCCCATATCAGCTGTTTTGTGTGACCATGTGGGACATTTCTGTCAGTTCGGTAAATTCCCTCAAAATGTGTGCATTCCTCACTGTTTAGATGGGCCAGTGTGAGATGTATTAGGGTAGAGCATGAAGTTTCATCTTACCTCACTTTTAATTTTATTATGAGTATTTTGTTAGCCAGCAGTTAACCCTGCTGTAGGTTGACTTCATTACCCTTCTGTTTGAAACGCACAATTAATGTAAGGCGCTGTATCTGTTGTTTTGCTTTGTTTAACTCATGCTGTATTTCTTTTTGTGTTATTAACTCACTTTACTAATGGCTGTCCTCAACACTGCAGAAAGAGAATGAGGAAGGCAGCTGGGCTCAGGTAGGAACCTTTTCCAGTGTGACTAACAATAGCTCAACATCTGGCACTAGGGAGCTGTCAGCCCCTTCCACAGACGAGTTCAGTGCTTGCTCTTCATATTTATTTAAGTATTAGAAGCAAGGGATATTTTAATGGTCTTGTGCTTTTTTCTCTTTTTGTTAAGACAAGCTGGTTTTGTGCTGCTAATTATAACTGAGCCCCAGGCAAAAGCTTCAATGTGCCTTAAAGGGTTAACCTACACTGAATGGACTTCTCTGACTCAAGAATTAATCTCCCCCCCTTTACTGCAAGACAGGCAATCCAAGATGCTTGGAGCAAGTGATGAGAGAATTGCCTCCTTGGGAATATGGGTGGGGGCTTGATCGCCTGTCCTGGAGTGGGGAACTTCTGGACTGTGGGCCTGACTTGCCTATAACAAGGGTAATGAACTTTGCAGAAAAGCTGGCAAAGGGACCTCCTGGAGAAGAAAACCCACTTTTCCACAAAGTTCACTACCCTTGTTATAGGCAGTGGCTTGTGGGTTCTCTTCAGTGCTGACATCTGAATGAGAAGGGTCTACAATACATGCCTGCTAGAATCTGAAACTTTTGAAGGCCAGTCTACACATTATACCAGCCACATGGAGGCCAACTGAAATGATTTTTCCATGGCAGTTCCACAAAACTAAAATAACACCATTTCATCTTTCAAGATAATTTTATTAGGATTAGATATAAATCCATTGTATATACTTTGCCAGCCTATTACTTACATGCCAAACCTTGTTTTGGCTGAGGTTTCAGAAGCTTCTGAAAGTTTTGATTTCTGATATAGATGGTAGGAATCACTCGTCATCATAGGATGCCTTTCTCCTGTGACCAGAAAGGGCCTTCATGGATAATATTGCTTTATATTTCCTTATTTCTTCTGTGCACCTGTTTGCTAGACTAGGAATGCTGATTGTTGATTGGAGCTGATCAAATGATATTATGGCATACATAGAGTACTACCTAATATTACTAACGAAACTGGAACATCAAGAGTATATACTCTGGAACAACTAGTATATACTAGTAATATATTTTCCTATTCTTCACCACCTTCCACCCCAGACTCTTGCTTATGGTGACATGAATCATGAATGGATTGGTAATGAATGGCTTCCTAGTCTGGGATTGCCACAGTATCGAAGTTACTTCATGGAGTGTTTGGTAGATGCAAGGATGTTAGATCACCTGACAAAAAAAGATCTCCGGGTACACTTAAAAATGGTGGATAGCTTTCATCGGTGAGTTACCACATTATTTTTATTTATTTATTATTAAAACCATGTTTATATTACTTTTAAACCAGAAATAAAAGTGCTGATATTACCAAAGCCAAATGTTTCTATCTGGGGAAAAGATATATAAATTATTTCCACAGTTTGTCTCGTGGACAGAAAGAAGATGTTTACGGTATACCGTATACAGTTTACAGTATTTATAAAATGTTTTAAGTGGAGCTTTTCAAATGCACAAAATCTTCCAATTTGTTTACTTTCACTGCAACTTGCCTTATAATGTCCTCTTCCCCACCTTAAATAACAGAACAAGTCTGCAGTATGGAATCATGTGTTTAAAGAAACTGAATTATGACAGACAAGAACTAGAAAGGAGAAGAGAAGCAAGTCAGCATGAAATAAAAGGTAATACTTTACCGAAGGAGGATATATTTAATGCTTGTCTTCTGAATTTTTATTCTATTGGACTCAATAGCCCCAATGTAGTTATATGAACAAGTTCTCTCAGGCTCAGAACGGGCTTATCTAAAATGAAATAATTCCTTGAGGCTAAGCAAGAAATTAAAAGTTTATTCATTATTAGATGGAATCAGCATAGACTTATCAGCACATTACAAGGAAATGTGTCCAGAAATTTTATGTAGCCATCATACAAATTAACGGGAATTTTAAAACACAATATATCTGAACAATGCAACATTTAATTACAAGTCTCTTAAAATTTCCTCTTATTGTATTGCTGTTTTTTGGATTTGAAAAGTCCATATAATGAAATTTCTATATAAATTCAGAACTGGTTCAGCTCAGCCCTCTGTGCATTTTTGCATTTCTGAAAGTTCAGTCCTTGGGAAAATGCTTTTCTCCCTCCTTTTCATAGATGTGTTGGTATGGAGTAATGACAGAGTCATACGCTGGATACAAGCAATTGGATTGCGAGAATATGCAAACAATGTGTTAGAAAGTGGGGTGCATGGATCGCTCATAGCCCTGGATGATAACTTTGATTACAGCAGCTTAGCTTTGTTATTGCAGATTCCAACACAGAATACACAGGCAAGTAAACTAAATTTGCTAATTGTAATTATTTCCCATGGATTTTAACTTTTTTAAAACATTGCTTCAATTGTTTGATTTGGTTAACCATAGGCACGGCAGATCCTTGAGAGAGAATACAACAATCTGTTAGCACTAGGAACAGATAGACGACTTGATGAAGTAAGTAATTTTATTTATACTTAATAGGTAGCAGAGAATACGAAATGGTTGATTTTGGTCCTCATATATATAGATACCACTGCTCACTTGGCCCACTAACCCTTATTAAGCTGGAGATTCTCCTTCCCAACCCATGCAACTACTAAGCTCACCTTTCCCCTTTTGGGGGCCACTTCACTCTTCTATTCTGCAGTCCTGCTTTGCACCCCTTTTCACCTTCACCCGCATGTCTCTTCCTCCTCCTCCCCTCCTTTTGTGCTATTTCCTCCCCCCCGCCCCCGCACACAAACCACTCCCATGGTGACTGTGGCGTTAACATATGAGAGTACTGGAGGTGAAACAGTTAAACAGGTTACCCAATCAGGATCCGGGGGTGGAGTCAGAGGGACTATAAAACCAGCTCTGGGAGGGGCAAAGGGGGGAGTTCGTTGGGAGTTGGTTGGAGTGGGAGTGAATGGGGATAGAGTTTGTGAGTAGGTTGAGTTAGTGTAGCGAAATAAGCTGAGTCAGGAATAGTTAGGGGCTAGGAAGACAAGTAAATATCTGAGAGGTGGTTTAGTGAGTGAGTGCAGCTAGCGGAAGTTATAGGTCTGGATAGGCACCCCATGATTGTAATTGACCGATACCGTTTATGAAACCACACGCTTGTTAAACTGCAATAAATAAACAAAGGTTTATGTTCCAGTTTAACCTGGACTGGACTCAGTATAGTACCAGGTAGAGCCTGGGTGGTGGCAGCGATAAATAAAGTGGTGGCACAGGGATCAATAGACGGTGAAACGTCCGGGGACCCTGTGTGATCGCCACAGAGACCTCTTGCATCTTCCGTACATTGCAGCTAAGCACCCATTTCACATTCGACCCAACCATGAAGCCACCACCTCCTCTTATTCTTCAGACCCTTTCCCATGCCTTCTACGCCCTCTTTTTGCAACCCCCATAACATCTCTTTACTCCACCCTCCTCCTTTCTTCTCCTTTGTAACAGATCACCCCATTCCCATGCCTTCTCCTGTCTATTGTGTAGGTCTCTTTGCACCCTTCCTCTTTTTGTTTTTGAACTTTCCCTTCACACAGATCACCCCCATTTTCAGGCTTCCCCCTCTCTCATTCTGCATTGCGTACACAGCCCATACCGATATGTTACCATATCCTTATGATGACTACAATGTTAAGAAAAAGCCTGTCAGTTTTAGAAGAGTTTAATTCAGTTGACGAATGTTGTACATACATGGGTGTTTTCCTATTAATGAAATATCTCTTTTAACTACAACATTGAATCTTGAACTTCCATGTTGAAGGCAGCACATGGTACCAGGAAATGCATGATTGTGGAGAGGTACTGTAGAATATTTGAGGGCTTCACATCCTTGATCTCCCTCATATGAGGCAGCTGAGGAATGGAAGAGGAAGAAGTTTGAGAAAGCCATATTTTTATTTTCAGTTATTCTTTCTTCTTGCTTTCCTCAAACAATGGCAGAGGTTTGAGCAAAGCAGGAACGGAAGGACACTGAAGGGTTGCTATTTATATCTATATCTATATATCTAATCTATATCTATCTATCTTATACATACATACACACACACACACAACCAGATTTGACAAGGAAAAATAGCAGTGACAGGTACAACACAGAAGCTAATACAACAGAGACTTTCCCAACTTCCTCCTTGCTATACTCAAGCTTTGTTTTAAACCTGCAGATCTCCCAGGTCGCTCTCTGCTCAGTCTAGTCAAAATTCTGCCATTCTTTAAAATCCCCCCTCCATTTTTCTATCTCTGCTTTATTCAAATCTCTGCTGTTCCCTCTGTGCTCCTCCCATCCCTTCTTTACTCAGTCTTTTACTGCTGAGAAGCCTGCCTTCTCTTTTGCTCTCCTATCCCACCCTGACTTCATGCAAATTCAGGATTGTGATGAAATACTGCAAATCCTCCACTGGAGGCTGTGCAATTACAGTCTTACAGAACACAGCTTTTAGTAAAAAAAAACACTAAACATACTAGTCAGTTTCATTAGTTGTGGCCCACCCACCTATCCCCATTTTTTGATTATATTCTTATTATCACTGTTCACATAGGACATTTTAGATAGGCATACATCATCCCTCTTTAATCTTTTGGTAATTTGTTAAATAATAAAACCACAGAGGTATATTAGTTTGAGTATCTCAATGGTGGGAGGGCAGCATATAATCTCCCCAGCACTCCAGTCAGCATCTTCCTACCCTTTGGGTCCAGTGGGGATCATATCAAAGGATGAGTTGAGGGTTATTTATTACATTCCGTTTGATGCTCTGTTGTGCACATCCTATATTTCAGTGTCTCTATCTGGCTCACTTTTTCACTGCGTTCTGGCCATAGAGTAGCAATGCCTATATATGGACCATTTTATCTAGCTGTGTTCAAAAGGAATGATAAAGCTATTCATTGGCCAGCCTAAAATTCCCTTGTCAGGTTTCTGTTTCTATTTGTAACGAGCAGAAGTCCACTTTTCTACTGATAACTATTCCTCAACTGTTCAGTTTTAACTACGCAGAAGACTAGCTTTCAGTTTTAGCAAAATTAAATACTGTATTTGTGTGTCAACAGAGTGATGACAAGAATTACAGGCGAGGTTCTTCCTGGCGAAGACAATTCCCCCCACGTGAAGTCCATGGAATCAGCATGATGCCTGGCTCCTCAGAAACACTGCCAGCTGGGTTCAGATTAACTACAACATCAGGACAGTCACGAAAAATGGCAACTGATGGTATGGGGCTAACGCTTATTTTCATAACTAAGGTTGTCTAAGCATTCATTATCTATGTGGAAGAAAATATGCCGACCTTGCATAAGCAATATAGCCAGCAGCAAAGCATCACTGACTTAGGTGCTGGTTGGTGTGAAATATTTACACATAAAATGTGTTAAGAGATGTAATACTAAACCATTATTTAGCGGTACATGAAAGAGCTGAAGCAAACCTTGAGCTCATATGCTTGTCCCCATGCCCTACACCTGTATTTACACAGTTTCAAATGCCTGAAAGGGGTGAATGTATTTTTCATTTCTACATTTTATTTATCCATTCTATTTATTCTTTATATTCATAACCTGCCCTTCATCCATACGGCTGCAACTAATTGAGCTAAGAAGCAGTACAGTGGTACCTTGGGTTAAGTACTTAATTCGTTCCGGAGGTCCGTTCTTAACCTGAAACTGTTCTTAACCTGAAGCACCACTTGAGCTAATGGGGCCTCCTGCTGCCGCCGCACCACCGGAGCACGATTTATGTTCTTATCCTGAAGCAAAGTTCTTAACCTGAAGCACTATTTCTAGGTTAGCGGAGTCTGTAACCTGAAGCGTATGTAACCCGAGGTACCACTGTACACACCTTCTTTCCCCAATTGTCTCATATCATCACAAGAGCAAAAAGAGAACCTTCCCCACCCAACCACATGGTCTGTCTGCTGTGTCTCCTGTTCCAGCAGATATCCATATTTGGGTGGGAATGAATGAATTCACTTTATTCGGTCACAGACCAGCATAAGCAAAACATCTAAATAAATAGCATAACATATGGGTATAATGGTCAAATAGGTAAGGTACATACAAATGCCCTGATAGCAGGGTCAGAATCTTTTTTAAAAAAAATCTGGGACACAGATCAGGCACTCTGGATATACACCCTTTTTGAACATTAAGTGTACGTGTGCGCAATCCACACTAAATAAGCTTCAAGAGTTGGGTCACAGAGAATACCTTACAGAGTGGGATCCATGTTTTTTCCCTCTTCCTCTAATTCCAAGATTCTTCTTGTTGTTTTGGTTATCAATTTGCAGTGGCGTCAGCGCGGTTGCAGAGACTAGACAGCTCGACGGTTCGCACGTATTCGTGCTGACAAGGCTGGCATGGAAAAAAGGATGGAGGTGAACTCATGTGAGTGATTAAAAAGCTATCTTATTTGTTGTTGGGGTGGAGTGGGCAGAACTGAAACAATAACCATAGCAGTGTAGGGTTCTCTCAAAGGGCCTGGGAAGTTCTCACTGAAGTACGTCTGGGCACTGGGATAGTGAAGGTATGCCTGGGCTATACAACTTCTGACTATTCTTAGACTTTGTCTGCACATTAACAGCACTGAGCAATAAGCAGCTATGAGTTCTCAACATCTAAGCCTAGGGATGAGACTCAAGTGAATCTAAGGAACCTGCCTGCAGCCTAAAGAGTAGAACAGGGTATAGAGGACTAGGGCTGGGTGATAACTGGTTTTTAACATTGTGATGTATCAGCAGCTAAATACCAGTGTGTGTGAAGTGTATCTTGGCTGCTTCTTCCTCAGAAGCAGCTGAAATACATCACCCAGTCCCGTGCCCCTCAGCTGATCAAGCTTCTCCCCTCTGGCTGATGTGAGCAGGAGGGGGATTCCTTAAACCACTCAACTGAGAGGTGGGAAGCCTCCCATACTGCTCTGGCAGCTTCCACAAGCCAGAGGCAGGGCTTGGTTGCTCCAGAAGTGACTGACACCCTGCACAGGCTGCACACCCACCACTTCTCAGCTGATCACGCCACCCTCTGGCTCCCATGAGGGGCTGAGAGACTTCCTTAAACTGCTCCATTGAGGAGCATGTGAATATTTCTTTTCCATAAACCCCAATTTACTTTCCTCTGTTTTATCATGTGTCTTACTTCTGCTCCTTGAGCATAGCTGGGTGGAAACCAGCGTGGCTGGAGCAACCCAGTCAGATGGGTGGGGTACAAATAACAACAGTCACACAATTTTTGACACTGCAAAACACCACCTTCAGGGCAAATGTCAACCATGCTGGTGCACTTTTCAGCAGAAAACTAGCATAGGACCCCAGCCACATTTGAAGCAGATTCCAGCACCGGGCCCCAAGATGGTTTCTCTCCAAAATAAAAGCAGACAGACACAGCACACTTGTTTACACACATCATTAATGCCATGTGTAGTTTAGCTCTGAATGGAGAGGGGGAAAGCTTTTCCTTCCTCCCAAGCAAAAAACATTAAACCAAATGAGGACAAAAACACTGAAATGGAATAGCTTGTAATTAGAGCTATGTAGGCTGTTGTTAGCATGCCAAGGGTATGAAATTGAGTGCCCCAGAGCATTACAAATTTCACTGCAAGTTCAGATAGTAAAGAGCCAATGCTTGCAAATATCAAACCTATGATTATCTAATCTACTGCTACTACCACAGTCAGCCATTGCTTGAGAATACAAATTCTAAAATTAGGAAATACAAACAGCACTAGGCAGACAAAAATAATGTGCTAAAGGTATAGAAAAATGAATCAGTGCAGTTTGCAAGGAGTACTACTACTACTACTATTCAAGAGGGTAGTCTATGGGTTCATTGCAAATGCCATTGCCCTTGACATTTATTCCACTGGTAGCTACAGTAATTTATGGACCAATACTATCACCAATGACATCTGAAACATTTCCCAACCGGCATCTATCAAAGGAAACATTCTACATTACCAACAATCCTACTAGAGAGAGAAAAAAAGCAACCCAATATATTACCTTAAAAAGATGCAAAACAATTAAGATAGTGAAATTCCAAGTGGGCTATTTATTGTATTAACACATCTGCTTCGGTATATTATACAGTGGTGCCTCTGGTTACGAACTTAACTCATTCCATAGGTCCGTTCTTAACCTGAGGTACCACTTTAGCTAATGGGGCCTCCCACTGCCGCCGCCGTGCGATTTCTGGTCTCATCCTGAGGTAAAGTTCCTAACCCGAGGTACTACTTCCAGGTTAGCGGAGTCTGTAACCCGAGGTGTTTATAACCTGAGGTACCACTGTATGACTAAACAATTACAATCCAAATTCAAAAATGTTAAGTCTGAGTGGTAAAAGGAATCTGGGGCTTGTAGCTCAATACCTACAGATACTGCCTATGTTTAAATTTCCTTAGCGCCTCAAGACAGATTTTCCCCATTGTGTCTGCAGCCCCTTTTCTCCACAATAATCCTGCCTGCTTCAGCAGGGCTGTGCTAGAAGCCATTTACTACTCATTAATAATGAGCCTAAGATAGAGATCACCAACCTTTTTGGGAGGCTGTAATTATGCACACACCACAACTTACTGTATTGTGGCTACTCCAGAATGATTTTTGAGCCTAATTTCTGTAGAGGGATGAAAAAGGGTGCCTTGCATTGCCAGGGAAGACTTCTGCAGGGCCCACAGGCACCATGTTGGAGACCATTGCCTCAGTAACAGAATACTGTAATGGAGTTATTACTGAATGTACTATTTTTTCCCCACCTCTAGATGCCAACTCTTCTACTTTACCTGAAGTGCACTACCACCACGTTATGAAAAGAAGCTTTTTATTCAAGAACAGGGTATAAGGAAGTACACTAGAATATTTATCAGACTAAACTACATGGAGATCTTTTTACAAATTGCGTTTTAAGGTGCAACCTGCCAAGTACTACCATCATGCAACTCTAATTCATTTCAGTGGAGGTAACATACGTTTCAGACAGCCCCACTGAAATGACTAAAGAATGTGCAGCAACAGTACTGGCTGGACTGCGCCCATTGGGTAGTTCAATAAGGTAATAGTTACTAATTAAGTTTTTTTAAAAAAATAAATAAACCCCAGTGTATCTATCATCATAAATTTGATTGAAGTGCAGGAAAGCTTTTATCAAAAGGAGACACTCATTTTTAAACTTGTTTCATCTGTTTTATTGTAAAATACTAGAATTTATGTATTTACTGTGTATGTATTTCTTTTAATATGTGTAAGTCTCATGTAAATGGATATAAATATGATTTTTTAAAAGAAATTAAATCTATGGTACATGGGGTCTTAGTGCAAACACTTGACAATACAGTGTCAACAATACTGTTTGTATCCTTCCATTCCACCATTTTTACAGTTTTGAATTGTAGCAAAGTCAATTGGATATGTTTAGCGGAGTTATTAGATGCTTCAACATGTTCCTACTTTTTAAAAGAAATCTGTCAATATTTAAAGCTCAACACCTGCCTCTGATGATTTACAAAAGAAAGATTTGAGCCAAAAATGGACCTCTAAAGGCAAAACACAATTGTTATATATACTTGTAGAAAAGCACTGTGACGGCTCTCCTTTTTAATATCAACAAGATCAAAAATAGGATGTTAACAAGAGACATTCTCCTCAATGGCTACATATGGACCAAGAAGAAACTAGCTTTTTCTAGAACTCACGTTTTGCCTTCCAAATTCTTCAGATGCTGGCCAACGTTGGCATAGAACAAACATCAAGGGGAAATAAATCCTGATCTTCAAGTTTTCAGTTATATAGAAAAATGCTGCCCTCCATTTCTTCATTATAATAGGCATTAGACAGCTGATTGTCTAATAACATGTTTATCCAAGACGGCCTTGCTGAGACTTCTCGGAAGTCAACCTTATCAGAGGAACTAACTGAAAGGCAGAAAAGTTAATATATAATGTACAAAAGCTTAGAGGAGAAACTATTATCTGCTGTGGCTTTATTTGGTGGTGTTATTGATGTTTATTCTTTGTTTATATGGGAAGTTTCAAAGTAAGACCTATTTAATAATGTCATTTACCTTCTATTTGCTAATCTCCCGCTGCCTGATCTTAGCTTCAGACCTGTCTTTTGGTTATTCCTTTCAGCAGGTTGATCTGCAAAACATCTGCACGTACATTTGTTTTACTGCGTTTTGTTTTGCTTTTTTTACTTAAACAGACCTCAGTTAACCAAATGGTGACAGATTCTTTTTCTCCCCCGTTGTCAATAAAAGAAAATCAGTGCTGTTTTATGTGTTCAGTGTCTGATGGAACTGCATGGTGTGTCACAGCTTCAAATGGAACTTTAAGAGGCAAACATTGCTTCAGGGCTGAATATAAACATAACGTTTTCTATTAACAAGCAAACCAGAATGTGCTTTGAAAGATAATAATGCCGTCTGCCACAAGATGGTGCACTGAACGTATTGCTTCATAGAAAGTAACGTACAAAAAGTGTTCCTTCTAAGTAAACTTTGCTACAACCGCCAAGACACTGACTTGATCAATTGATTTTTATGGGATATAACTCAAGGTTACCAGACATTCCCATTTCCAGGGGACAGTCCCCAGATTTACAAATCAGTCCCCATACAAAATCCACTGAAGTTGAAAAGTGTCCCCGGATTCATTGAAAAAAACTGGTAACCTTAATATACTCTGTTGTTGTAACAACTGCTGTAACATGTCTTCAAACACCTTTTAGACCAATATACAGCTGGAATCAAACATACTAGCAACCTGGTAATCTAATTCTCCAACCACTGTTTGATGCTGAGCAAGTTAGTTAAGTCCCATTGATATAAGTATGATTAGTTTTGGTTTGGAGTCAATACAGTATATAACAGCACAATATAATCCTATAAATAGGGAAGGTGATTTGAATTTAACGAGGCTTACCTATGGCTAAGTATGTAGGACTGCAGCCATAATGAATTTTTGCTGAAGCCTACAGATGCCTCAGTTTCTTTTCTAGCTACCATGTGTCCTAGAATAGAATTAAGACTACTATGAAATACACCAGGCTTCCTCAACTTTGGCCCTCCAGATGTTTTGAGACTACAATTCCCATCATCCCTGACCACTGGTTCTGTTAGCTAGGGATCATGGAAGCTGTAGGCCAAAATATCTGGAGGGCCAAGGCTGAGGAAGCCTGAAATACACGAATTCTAATAGTAGTTGCACTATGCAATATTACTTTTCACTAGACAACTATAGCAAGAGCTTCTCAAGTTTTTCTTTCTTTTCTGCCCAAAACTGGTGGGTATATTTTGTTCCCTGCATGGGCACACAACACCCTACAGGTGGGAAAGGACCTATTAGCTATAGGGCTCAATAATACCTCTCTCACCTTTACAATGTGCATATAGACATAAAGAGGCAGGACAATGACAAGAAATGAGAAATCTATGTTCCTCCCATTTGTTGTTGTTTAGTCGTGTCCAACTCTTCGTGACCGCATGGACCAGAGCACACTAGGCACTCCTGTCTTGCTCTGGTCCATGGGGTCATGAAGAGTTGGACACGACTAAACAACAACAAATGGGAGGAACATAGATTTCCTCCCATATATACATTTAACTTTAGGGTTCATGTAACTTTCAAAAGCAAATGGAAAAGTATAGATGTGGAAGGCATACAAATACCACCTTTAACTATTCTAATGCTCCACCTACCTCCATACCTGGGACACATGTACAAAGGAGTGTGTATGGGAAAAACAGCACTTTGATGCCTGTGACTCACCTCCCATATACGATTTCCATATGCTGCTGTTCCAAATTAATGAAGAGCCAGTCCTGCAGAGACCTGGGTCCCAGGATTTGAAGGACATACACATAATAAGCCTTTTGTCTCTGAGATGTAGCCAAGTAGCTGGAAGGAAGACACAAAGTTAGGATAAATTGGTCCTTAAGTATAATAAAGCTTTAAGAGTGTCATCATGCAGCCCCCTTTGGAGGATTTGTAGTGCCGCATCACAATCCTGACTGCATGAAATTGGAGTCGGGTAGGGGCACAAAAGAGAAGACAGATTGCACAACAGCAGCGGCAGTGACATGGGAGCAAGACAAAAGAGACAACTGAGAGGGGGAAAGTTGTGGTTTAAAACAATGGGAGAGGTCTGAATAGACTGGGAAGGGAGAAATACGGTTTTTTTAAAAATTGTTTTACAAGGAAAAATAACGGGGGAAACATCCTTTCCCATCTCCTTTCTCACTGTATTCAAACCCTGTTTTAAGCCATTCTTCCCACTGCAATGTCTACCCACTCGCTCTACTCAAACCTCTGCCATTGCTTAAAACCACAAAATTTTCCTCTCCATCTCCGCTTTGTTTGAATCTCTACAGTTGTTTAAAACTACCACTTTCTCCTCCTTACACTTTTCCCTCTTCCATTCCTCAGCTGCTTCACATGAGAGAGATGTGGAGCCTTCAAATATCCCATAATACCCTCACAAAACATATTTTACTCCTGGTACCATGTATTGTGTTCAACACGACGTTTCAAATTCAATGCTGAATTTCACACACACACACACACACACACACACACACACACAATCCATATATGTACAACATCAATTAACTCTGCTTAACCTTCTCTAAGAGAGCATGCTGACTTAAAGGCTTGCCCTTAAGTTTCTATTCGTCTTAAAACTACAGGTAACTCTCACCTCACTTATGTTCTTGACCATTGCATGTATAAGCGAAATCACTAAAGCCTGAACAATCCCTAGAAGACCACTTAAAAACCATTTTTTCAAATGGTGGCACCTACCTGTGAGGGACGAATGAAGCCATCCTCCTCCCTCGCTGGATGATGCTTCTGATTATATGAAGACTGAGAAGTGCTTGGCTATGGTTCAGATTCAGAGGTGCGTTGCACGGGCACATCTGCTTGTATCTGTGTGAGGCACATGGTGATTGGCAGCTGCCAATGTTGTCTCTTGAGCTCATCAAACACTTTCTTTTATAGTCTCAGAGTGTCTGTAATCCCATGGATGAACTTGAGGCTGATTTCCAAGCAGATCTTAAAGCTGTTAAGTCAACCTGGCCTGGCTTCAAATTTCATAGCAAGCTGATCCCCATCTTTGATAGAAGTCATAGAGGTTCAGTGTCTTTTGGCACAATATGCTTGCCACCCATGGGACATGTTTCCGGTTTGTGTCCTCCAGCCACAAGTTCAGTGCCTTCTCTGTCTCCACCAAAGCCTTGTCCTACACCTCGCTGCAGTCAGTGGTGCGCTTACTGCCACAGCCCCATGGATCTACTTTTCATACACCTTGATGGGCATGGATGCTGGACTCATTCTGGCCAAATTTGCATGCCACAGCACTCAGACATGCCAGCCCTCAAGCAATCCAACAAAGCCAACATGTCTATGAGCATGAGAATCACCCTCTACTTTTTTGTTTTCTCAGAAGCCGATGATGATGGTGATGCTTTGTGTTTTGGTGGACTATTCTGTCGTCTGAAGCTCTGCCAAACACCTTCCTCACACTCCAAACCCCTCTGTACTCTCTCCAAACCACTCCACAAGTTTCTCTGATCTCCTCTCCAACCGCCTCTTCTGCACTCAAACACTCTCACAAACACAGCTGGGATTGCTGCTCATTTTTCCCCTGCTCTCCCACTCCCTTTCCCCCTCCAACCCATGCATGTAAAAGGTCATGTTTAAGTCCCCACGTCTATGTGATGTGGAGAGACTCTACATTGGACAGAAGATTCCTGCATTGCAGGGGGTTGAACTAGATGACCCTTATGATCCCTTTTCAACTATACAATTCTGTGATTCTCCCCATTCCCACCACCCTCAGCTGCTACAATACCACTGCTTTCCGGGAACCAGCAGCTGCTTTAAACATGCTTTTGAAGTGGGAGAAACGTAACATTTTTCACATGCATCCTGAACTGCAGTTCTACGAAGGCAATACTATGTGCTATTTCAAACCATCTGATTGACTCTAATCAAAGTTCTATGAAGACTTTCTAAAGTTTCTTTAATTCCCCTTTTGGCTCTGCTGTTCAGTCTGTGAAGCCAAAATATGCAACAGATGTCTTAAAGCAAACTAAGGTTGAGTAAACAAATATGTATAAGATTGCACCTTGAGTACTAAGACTGAAACTGTATTAAACAGAACAAAAAATGGCATTGCTTCTACACAGGAAACTGGCTTATACAAAGTCAGATCAATGGTCCATCTAACTATTACAATGATTGGCAGCATCTATCCAGGTTTTCTCAGCTGTAGCTGGAGATGCCAGAGACCAAAAAGAGGGCCTTCAGCATAAAAGTGTGTGTGCTACACCACTGAGGAATGGTCGTTCGAAAGATATTCAGCATTACCTCCATTTTCTGTGCAGACTGGCCCAGAAGACTGGGATGAATTTGTACTTACAGGGCAATATAAAATAAGCCTTTGTTCAAAAATGATGGAAAAGCCCACTCACCACCAAGGGCATCTCCTGTTCTGTTTGATTATTATCATCATCATCGTTTTACCTACAGGTAAGCTTTTGCATAGGGCCATTTTTTCCTTCTGTGCCCAAGGCCTTGCTATTTCCAGTCTTGTTCTCTGTGTTGATCAGGATAATCACTTGCTGGACTTGAAGTACTGAGCTGGATACAGATAGGTGCAGAGCTCACTCTATTACAGTGAAGAAACAAAATTGCACCTTGGGACAGGAAGTTCAGCATACAGCCAGCAATATTCTTCTGTGCGGCTTGATTGCAGGTAAGTATTAAATGGGTTCTAGTGATTTGGATTTCGAAAACGTAGCCTGCAAATATGCATGACGAAATGGGGGGGGGAGGAGAAAATGTCTTGGGTGTGATATATAATCTAAACAACTCAAAATAAAAATGGCAAATTTTATTCTCATAGCTCTAAACTTGTAAACAATAGTTTCATTAGTTAGAGTGCAGTCCTGAGGTTGTGAATGTGTTTGCATGGGTGGGTGGGTGGGTGTGAAGCTGAAAACTGACCTCCACTTCTAAACCTTGCTTGCTTGTGGCAGCCAGGGCAGCGAAACAGGCAGTCTTACTTTTCCTTTGCTGTGTGGATCTTTGCCCACCCTCTCAATCTTCCAGTTGATTCCAATGGGGGGTGGGACTTAGATAAACCAGCTCCAGGGTCCTGTGGAGGGGACCCTGATCCTGGGAACCCTCCAATGAATGAAGGAGCCTTGCATCCAACAGATTCGAGGCTGCTTCCATCCTACCCTGCCTTACCCTGACTCTGGCTACAAAAGAACCAACAGTGGTAATTCTATACACACAAAGCTAGGCAGCAGCCTCTGCTCCACCCTTGGCCCCTCCAGCCAACAGATGTGGAAGTTAAGATTGCTCTGCCCACCTCTTGAAACAATATTAATATATAAGCATACCTAAAGTTCCCCTGTATTCAATGGAAGACATATGAGCACACGGATTCAAGTGTTGCACTGAAATTGATGGGGCTTAAAAGTGCTAAAATTTTGGCTGGGTGTGCCCTGCATCATCAGTTTCATCTTTGCATTCGATATAGGGTTGGAGCAGCAAGAAAGTAGCAAATGCGATTATTTTAATAGCTATTTGAGCCTCGGAGAAACTGTTTGAATATCCACCATAAATCATTACACCAGCAATCCAATATTAATTACTTGCCATTGCGGTATAAGGCTTAGCAACACTTTTGCAGAAATAAAATTAGTCCCAATGTAATTTGATTTGCATGGTACTCCTGGCCTAATTAAATGCAGTTATGTATTCCAGGTATTTTCAGATCTTAATAGGTTTTAACCATTACTTTAACTTGGTCTTCAGCATTTCTTCTACATGTTTAAACACAGCCGGATCCTCAATGGTTGGAGTTATCTGGGGAAAAATGAGCAAGAGAAGAGAATCAAGATACTATGTTATACTTAACAACAGTGTTAGTAAGTTCAAGTCTAGTCAACTTAGTTTGCCTAGTTTTGTTGAAATCATACAAGATCCCTGTATACACCATCAAAAAAGCAGTAATGTAATGGCCCATAGTCAGCAGTGGCACTGGAAAACAAGTTTTGTAGCTGCCCCCTTCTTGTGACCAACCACTGTCAGTAGATGCAAAAAAGGTAATCTCACACAAAATGGTTCCTTAGTACAGAAATGGGTCAAGACAAATGCGATAAAAACTATTCTTATTTATTTGTTACCTGGCCTTCACCTTAAGGTCCCAGGATGTGTTATGTTCCGAAAGTGGGTCCTAAAAATATACTCCTCAAGTGTCAAAGGTCAGGATAAAGAAGTATATATAGCAAGGGTAGGAAATGCAGGCACTATCCTAAAAGCATTTGACCCTCCCAAGGTTGTTTGGCTACACTTTGTAAATCTATATGCCTGTTACAGGGTGGTGGTATTGGAGCCAAGTTAATGGGACTGGTCTGCTTTACACAAGATATGCTGCTGCTTAAAGCCACTTAAATACTACACAACATGCTAGGCATAACTTTAGAGAGAAGGCTATAAAAGATTATGAAAACTGCAGACAGCACAGCGTAATATCAAAATATCCAGCACCACACAGTAGTAGTAAAAGAATGCAGGTAATTCACCTTGTATGGCTTGCCGTTTACCAAGGAAGAAAGAGCTGACCGTGGTATCTTGCCAGAACGTGTCTTTGGTATCTGTTTCACAAACACTACTTTCCGGAAGGCTGCCACAGGGCCAATATTTTCTCTAACTCTCTTTGTGATTTCATCCAAAAGCTTTTCCTCTTCAGTGTTTACTCCTGATAAGCAAGGTAAGAGCACCACGGTCAACAAAAGTAGTCTGATTCTTCTGTACGGTAACCATTTTGTTAGCTGCTACAGGCCGGGAGTCGAGCCTAAGGCTTCCTTCTGCTTTTCAAACAAATGTCTCACCGTTTCTTAGGACGCACAGAGCGAGTGGGACGTGGCCCTTTAAGGAGTCTTCCTGGCCGACAACTGCACAATCTGCCACAGCGCTATGGGAGAGCACAGCCTGATTGGGGAAACAGAAAACAACCACCACCATGCGTCAGTGGAGCATACATGTTCCTTATCAATCCAGAGAATCTGATAATGCAGAAGTCACAGTTTCTTTCCTAATTGGAATATCACAGGGAGTTTTCAGAGTCATAGTGGAGATGTCTAAGTAATTTCCTGTTGGATGGGGATTCCTTCAAAGATAACAACTTAAAGAACTGTGTGGGAGGCTCTTTAGATCAGGAGTGGGGAAAGTTTTATAGCTCAAGGGCCACATTCCGTTCTAGAAAGCCTTTTGAGGGCCACATGCCCGAGGTAAGCAGGAGCAGAGGCCAAAGTGGGTGGAGGAATTAATGTGAGTTTCGCCTAGCTTCTGAAACAGAAGTCCACATCCCTCTGTATCCTCCATCCAGACAAGCAAGAGGCCTTCTCAAAGGTCAACAACACATTCCAGTCAGGACAACTGGGTTATGAGGCAGTGTGGGTGAGGGGAGTGGTCTGGGGAATTTTGAGGGCCAAACGGAGAGGCCTTATCAGGCCACATTTGGCCTCCCAGCCTAAGGTTCCCTACCCCTGCTTTAGATACATTCTTTATACCGTACACTAAAAACCAATTATACTTTTCTGCTCCTGAAGGAGTCGGAGTGACCAACAAGTAAAACAAAAACAAAAACAGAATCACATCCCTAAAAACCCATTGTCAAAAACACAATCTGAGTTACAAAAACCACAACCTGACCTATCATCAGAAAACAGAAAAACCAGAATAAAAATCAAATTGAAATAAATTAAGTAGCAGCACTAGCAAATCCTTGGCTTAAAAACAAACTTCTTCAGATGCCAGCAGAACAAAGATAAGAGAGGAAGCTGACCCCTTGGGGCAGGGAGTTTCACAGATGATGTCCTGCCGTAGAGAAAACTCTTCCATGCATTGCCACAAAATGTGCCTCAGAAGGCAGTGTGACGTGCAAGGCAATCTAAAAAAACAAGCAGCTTTGCAGGCCCTTCAAGTACATAGATTAAAGCCCCAAGGAGTGTGGGACCAACGGTACAAAGTCAATACCTCTGATTGCATTAAAAACTGAATCAGCAGCCAGTGTAGCTAATACAATGATACTGTCACATGATCTCAATTCCTGGCCTGTCAAGATTTTAGCAGTAGCATTTTGACCCTTCTGAAGTTTCCAGGCAGCATTACAATGAAGCCTTTATGGCGATTCACAGTGCCCATAATACAGAAATCTCAGTTTGCCAGGAGCAGGATTTCAGAATTATGTGATGCTACAGTTCTGGCCTACATGCTCACAACATCACACCTATTTACTATTGTCTGACTGCTGCCAAAAAGAGATGTTTCAGTGCCTTTTTACTGAAAGATTTTTTAAGCTGTAACATTTGCTTATTAGCTTGATTAATAAACCTACTGGGAATGCAATATTTCAAATTACAAATGTACATTCGCAATCCAGCCCTTAAGACTGTGTATAAACGACAATGACATTCATCATGAGCAACATCCTGATATAAATCATTTTAGCTACTTTAGTGTACATTTTATTGCTTTGTGGGTCTCCATTTGGAATAATAACATGCACAGTATTTTAAGCTGTAGATCAAACTATCACTTAATGTCATCCTTAAAACAGGAGAGACAGACAGAAAGTTGATACATTATTTATCAGCAAACAACTTTATTGTGCATTCAGCAAAACAATCAATTGCCACCCACTGTATGGTAAGCAAAAAATGGGAATTAAATAGCTTTTTCAACACCACAAGGGAGGCAGCACTGCAATAAAGCACAATCCACAAAACAACTAATTTAGCCCAAGTTTTCTTTTCCTAAAAATACAGACTCGGCAATAATAATAAGGCGTCAGTTTATCACCACCTCACACCTGTTTTGCAAGGAGGATGGAGAAGCAATTAAGCTGTAAAAATAAAAATAACTGTGCCCTTACCTTCCCCCTCAAGCAGCGAGAGCTTTGAGTAAGTTTCCTAACACTTCTTTAAAAACCAAAAGTTCAACCTACCTTAAAGTGACTCTATGACATTTCCCCCTAAAAACCGGATCCAAGAAAATTAACACAGAAAAGAGAAAAGGTGGGTCTCTGTTAAATAATGCTCCACTAAGATTCAGACCCCATACATATACAGTGGTACCTCGGGTTAAGTACTTAATTCGTTCCGGAGGTCCGTTCTTAACCTGAAACTGTTCTTAACCTGAAGCACCACTTTAGCTAATGCGGCCTCCTGTTGCTGCCGCGCCACCGGAGCAAGATTTCTGTTCTTATCCTGAAGCAAAGTTCTTAACCTGAAGCACTATTTCTGGGTTAGCGGAGTCTGTAACCTGAAGCATATGTAACCCGAGGTACCACTGTATATCCATTTTGTGAAGATGTGAAAGGTACCAGGAGTGGGGCTGAACAGTGGTTAGTAGGATGGTCTGTTTTTATGAGTGCTCCAATGTGCATAGATACTGCAGGCAGCTCTACACAGCAGGCAAGCAAAGCTCACATGGGAAGGAACTGTCACTGGGTCTAAATTATCTGGCCATGTTCTTGGAGTAGCATGTGATGGTATTGAAGGGAGGTGCTTCCACATAATGCATGGGTTTAACTTTGCATTAATTTAATTAATAAAGTTATATCCAGCTTTTCACCATGGAGGTCTCAAAGAGGCTTACAGCAATAAGATACAGTGGTACCTTGGGTTACAGATGCTTTAGGTTACAGACTCCGCTAACCCAGAAATAGTACCTCGGGTTAAGAACTTTACTTCAGGATGAGAATGGAAATCACTTGGCAGTGGAGTGGCAGCAGCGGGAGGCCCCATTAGCTAAAGTGGTACCTCAGGTTAAGAACAGTTTCAGGTTAAGAACGGACCTCCAGAACGAATTAAGTTCTTAACCTGAGGTACCACTGTATACGTTAGACAAAATATGCCTGGGGAGCCGATTCTTCCCTGCTGCCTGGGAAACCGGTACTCTTAATTACTCCCTTGTGGTGTTCTCCTCGCTGTGTACTCTTTGTCCTCCCTCTGAACATCGTTTACTTTAATTTACTCTCTTGCTTGATGCGTTTCCTTATTGACTGTTTTAAGAATTTTGCAACTTTCAGCCTTGACAACCTGACTATTTTTTCCTGATCCTCTTTTGTTTGCTGTTTCTATGGCACCAATTATTGATGCTTCGGATTCTTCATTTAACTCTGTTTCAACATGTACATTTGATTTGTCTTTCTGCTCCCATTATTCTTCCCCAGGTGAGCCATAGATTACTTCTCAATTACGTTTTTCTTCATATATCACAGTCCTGTGCCGTTAGTCATGACTTCTCAATTTCTTATCTATACGCTTCACGCACACCCCTTAAATAAGCAATCTTATTTATCTTTCTCGGTTAATTCATTCTGTTGCTGCTGCTTTGGCTAGTCACTTTTATTCCCTTGCTAATTCACTGCTTATTCCTCATTTTCTTTCTTGTCTATTTTTATCTCTTAGTTTTTGCACATGCCTTTGATAAAGCAGCGCGAGTTCATTCATGAGTTCCTTCTGATCAGCTCTTCTTATTTATCACCATTTGTCACAGCCTCGTGGCTGTTTTGTTCCTTTTCTGCTCTTCTGTTCTTCTACTTGTTTGCTCAGTGTCATGCCTTCATATTTTCTAAGCAGATTGCTCACTTTCTATTATTCCCGTTAGTATAATTTCGAATCTCTCTGTTATGGCTTCTAGCCTCATAGATGACTTCACTGGGTTTGTCTAATTGCCACCTGGTTTCTCTTCTTTGTTTCCAAGCAATGTGTATGCAGTGTTTTCTCTCTCAGAGTCTTGATTATCACTACACTTTTGTTGTTGTTGTTGCTTAGTCGTTTAGTCATGTCTGACTCTTCATGACCCCATGGACCAGAGCACGCCAGGCACTCCTGTCTTCCACTGCCTCCCGCAGTTTGGTCAAACTCATGCTGGTAGCTTCGAGAACACTGTCCAACCATCTCATCCTCTGTCGTCCCCTTCTCCTTGTGCCCTCCATCTTTCCCAACATTAGGGTCTTTTCCAGGGAGTCTTCTCTTCTCATGAGGTGGCCAAAGTATTGGAGCCTCAGCTTCACAATCTGTCCTTCCAGTGAGCACTCAGGGCTGATTTCCTTAAGAACAGATAGGTTTGATCTTCTTGCAGTCCATGGGACTCTCAAGAGTCTCCTCCAGCACCATAATGCAAAAGCATCAATTCTTCAGAGATCAGCCTTTTTTATGGTCCAGCTCTCACTTCCATACATCACTACACTAGGTCCTTTTTAATGTAGTTTTCATTCATTTGTCTTGATAAACTGCCTCATCTTCACATTTCTTTTTTACTTTCAATGTATAATTTTTCTGTTCTTTGTTATCCTTCAGTATTTGAGGCTGCTTTCTTTTTGTCTGGCTAATCCTGTTCTATTCTTTAATGGTTTTCTTACTGTCAGTCATGAGTCGGTGTGAGTGCTGTTTTTCACCCTTGTCCCTTTACTTTTGGGTGTCCTTCATGGTTCAGGTTTCGCTGTCTCAGTTCCTGCATCCATTCCCCTAGCACTGATTATCATATTTAGGTAGGTTCAATTTAGCTGTATTTCCCTGCTCTAGATCTCCATCATCATATAAGAGTTTTCTCCCTCTTTGCTGCCTATTTCTTCTGGGATTTGGATACAGTTCCTTAAACTATCTAAAAATAAGTTTATTTGGTTTCCCCATTTTGGTTCTTGATTTATCTGTTGCTGGTATCACTCCAATATCTCCTTCTCTCTGGAATCAAGGTCATATTGTGTGGTTCTTCTCCTTTCTAGTAATATTTCTCCTAAAATATCACTGCCAACATCTTACTTCTTTCAGGAAACTAATATCACCCTTACACCTATTGACACAGCTCATTCATTAATTTTATCTTGTTTGGATTACTGTAATGATTTGTTTACCTATGTCTCATCATAGGCCCTTTATTTCATTCATTCATCTGCTCTAATTATTTTCTTTGCCTGGAAGCATTATTGTGTTGCTGCATTTATTCCCTTGGCATTCATTACCCCATTTCTTTTTCCGGATTCAGTTTACTTTACACCTTTACTTTCATTTTACTATTATTCAAGTTATTTGGAAATAAGACAGTATATAAGTCCGTGGTGAACCTTAGTCCCTCACCCCCAGCCTGATTAGGCCTGCCAAGACTTGGTGGGTGGTCCACCAGGCCATCTCAGACAAACCATGCCAACCTTTCCCATCATATATGATGCCAGGAACAAAAAAGTTCAAACATCAAAAAGTTGGTACTTTTTGAATTTAGCTCCTTTTTTCTGTGGCCCTGCACAGTGACATTACAAGGTGGGAGATTCAAAAACTGCCAAACCTTTTGATGCAAAGGAAGAATCAGGAACACTCTTAGGTCACCTCCATGCCATGCATCTCCTACCAGGCCAAGTTCAAAGTGTTGGTGCTAACATACGTGTCAGGACCAGGTTACCTGAGAGACCACTTTACCCCTTATATACCTAGCAGATCCCTGTGGTCTGCGGGAATGTTTCTCCTGTAAGTTCCAAATATCCAGAGGCCTGCTCTGCAATAAGTTGGAATGCTATAGAATAGCATTCCTGTTGAGATATGAACAGCTACCCATTATCTGCATTTTCCAAGAACAAATAAATACATTTTTATTCTGGTAGGCTATCTTAGCAGGATATATGGATCTTTGCTCAGAGATTTAGTTTTGTCTTCAATGTATCAGAGTTTTTGGGCTTTATTGTACAGTCCCTTCATAATAAATTGATGGTGATAATACATTTTAACCACATATGTTCCACCTTCATAGTCATGACTTCCCCCAAGGAATCCTGAGAACTGTAGTTTTACCCCTCACAGAGCTACAACTCCCAGCACCCTTAACTAACTACAGTTCCCAGAATTCTTAGGGAGAAGCCACGTATTTTAAATGTATATTGTGGGTTTTACCTTAGTATACTTCCAATTCTTTATTTGCAGACACAGCTTGAATTCAAGTCTTATCAGCACAGGAAAAATGTTTATTTGTAGCATGGAGGGGAGAGTAAGTAAAGTTAAAAGTAAAGTAAGTAAAGTAGAGTAAGTTAAGTAAAGGGACCCCTGACCATTAGGTCCAGTCGTGACCGACTCTGGGGTTGCGGCGCTCATCTTGCTTTATTGGCCAAGGGAGCCGGCGTACAGCTTCCGGGTCATGTGGCCAGCATGACTAAGCCGCTTCTGGCGAACCAGAGCAGCGCACAGAAACGCCGTTTACCTTCCCGCCAGAGCAGTACCTATTTATCTACTTGCACTTTGACATGCTTTCAAACTGCTAGGTTGGCAGGAGCTGGGACCGAGCAACGGGAGCTCACCCCATCGCAAGTCCTAGGCTCTGTGGTTTACCCACAGTGCCTGACATCAAAGTGACATCAGGTGATCCACAGGTAGGCTTTTGGCCCCATTCCCCTGTCACAGTGGCCTGCAGACAGCGAGGGAGCTCAGAATCCAGTCCCTGGTATCAGGGCTTTCCTGAAGTTATGAAGTTGCCAATGTAGGCCACAAATCACTCAGATAAGTTTCAAAAGAACACACCTTTGTGTTGGATAACACAAGAACTTTTGTACTTCGTTAGTCAGATTTTTAAAATGTATGCCACTGTTCTCACTGTTAAAATGCCTAGGGGCAAGAACAGGAAGGACACAAAAGTGACTTTGTACACATTACCTTAATACCATTCATAAGCAGCAGCAATGTAGAAACAGCCTCCACTGGTGATCTAAATCTTAGCTGGAGTTTTAACATGCATTTTTAAAGCATTTTTACAGACCGCTTTGCATTTACCTCCTCAATTGCACCTGCTGAAATCCTATGACCTGCAACATTGATCACGTCATCCACTCGAGACATCACATACAAATAGCCCTCTTCATCCATATAGCCCGCGTCCATAGTATTATAGTACCCCTGGGAGCAAAAGCAGGAGGAGAAAGGAAAATATACATATATCAGAATATTTGAGATCAGTAATACTTTAAAAAATGTTTATTGCTCATTTTATTGATGTTCCTTAAATACAGAAACATCAACAAAAATTACCAAAGATCTAGACCACTTTTGCCACCATGCCCATCCTTGGCATTTCTCCAAAATAATCCTAGGTTCCTGTCCAGGCTTTACAGGCTACATCTCGTATAGCAGCTTTTCCACAAAACAACAGCTACTAATCTTGATGGTGATGTTACCTCTAATACTGGAGATAAGCCTCTGAAGTGCACTCATGCCACTCTTATGGGCTTTGTGTAGGCATTGGGTTGGTCACTGTGGGTAAAGAATGCCAGACTAGAAAGGCCTTGGATCTGATCCAGCTGAACTCTATGTTCTTAACAGCATAGTGTAGAGCTGCTTAGCACACACCTTGTTTGCCTCATGTGCAATTTCCATAGAATCATAGAATTGTAGAGCTGGGAGGGACCACTGGGGTCATTCCTGAAATGCAGGAATCTTTTTGTGCAGTGTGGGGCTTGAACCCACGACCTTCCAGGTTAAGAGTCATTGCTCTACCGACTGAGCTATCTCACCACGCCAGCATTGCATATCCCATAGGAAGCCAATTGGCCTTTAGCAAGGACGTGTGGAAGAGTAAAAGAAGAATATGCAAACATGGGCATGAATGGGATTCTTACACTACAGTGCACAGCATTTATGGAGAAGGGGAGTGAAAGTATTTCTTGGGCATTACAAAATATATCTATTCTATTACATAGGGTAAGCAACACGCTGACCTCCAGTTGATTTGAGAAGCCATCAACCCCAGCCGGCATGGTCAATCAGAGGGGGAAACAGCATTCCAAAATATGGCATCGCTTCATGCTAGAGAGCCAAAGGTAGCTTACTACATATTTAGTTCATTTTAACTCCTCTTACTGGAAATTTCTGGAAGTATATTTCCTTGTACAGATCCTCATTTTTCCAAAGGCCCAGAAAGGCTCCTGGAGGCAAAGGCAGCCTGTTATTTAAATAAAAAAGCAAACACAGAAACACACACACAAAATTAAATTGGAACAAGGCTATCAAGGAGAACAGATCGTTTTTACAAGATTATTACACAATGGTGATTAAAGGGTTGTTGTTGTTGTTTTTAAAAAAGTCATCTCCTGAAATGTGTTGGAAGGGTAGAAGCCAAAAGCAACTATCTTTACAAGTCTAGTGGAGCTGGTCAAGGATTGAAACATTCTGATCAAGAATATGAAATATTTATGTCACACATGTAGCTAATAATCAGTTCCAACCCAAATATTTAATTTTTTGCTGCTCAAGTCAGCACAATACTTTTGGAAGATACAGGGATTTACTTTGTTCCTTCCCATAATAGTAAAAACAGATATTGGGGATGAAACCTATTTTTAACAAATCCATTGCACAAATTATGGTAGCTTCTTGTACTATAAAGACATTCTCCTATCATAAGACACAATGCCCACCCCCACCCCTGTTACAAATACTGAATATTTTCACCTAATGTGCAAGCTAATCAGGCACTTACAAATCTCCCAATTCTATCTACCTTTTTTTTTTTGTACTGAATCCTCAGTTTTAATCTGTGTAAAAACACCTATAACACCAGTGTTTATCCTAAACTGGAAGCACAGCATTATGGGGGGGGGGGTGAAGATCTATGATTAAGCATCAATTCACCATTCACAATATTATGTGTTGGTTTACATTTAAAAAATAGTTTAAAAAAAGTTTAGTTGTTAACTAAAGGAAAACAGATGTTAAAATATTACAAATACAGTGCTCACAGAGTCTGCCAACATGGAAAAACATGACTACACCTGCAGTAGATGTGAACTATATGTAAACAAAACAAGCAGATTGCTTAAAACCTGTGTGTCTGCATGCAGGTAATAAGCCTGTTGACAAGAACAAAGATGAGCCAGACCCACTAAGCAATATGTGCATGGTCAACTGTCTGTGCCTCTGCATGTTTCTCAATATGTCCCAAGAGCCAGAGGCATATATAAGCAACAAGATTTCCCAGAAACTGCTTAGTGCTATGGGTATGTGTGAGAGGGGAGCCTCTCAATTCCCCACTGGCTGTATCCTGGGAAGAGTCCCTAGGTCTGGCAAGACAGGTCTGGAGGGCTGCAGTTCAGGCTCTGGGCCTGAGATGCCCCATCCCTACCATAAAGAGCTGGTGGCACTGACTTCCCTTCTCAGGTACAGCCCAGGAGAATTGTGTTTAGTTAAACTTGCAAATCCTGGTGCAAAAAGAGAGTGGCCAAGCTCCCTTAGCCTCTGAAGTTTTGTCACTTAACTACAGTGGTACCTCGGGTTACAGACGCTTCAGGTTACAGACTCCGCTAACCCATAAATAGTACCTCGGGTTAAGAACTTTGCTTCAGGATGAGAACAGAAATCAGGTTAAGAACAGTTTCAGGTTAAGAACGGACCTCCAGAACGAATTAAGTTCTTAACTCGAGGTACCACTGTAGTTAAGTGACAAAACTTCAGAGGCACACTTTTTGTGGCAGAGAGCATGAGAAAGATTCCCATTTATCTCAGCAAAAAAGTGAGGGAGGGGAAGGCTCCCCTTGAATTCACTTTTCTGTTTGACACTGTCATAAATCAATGGCTTGCAAACGGCATCAACTGATGTTTTCCAGATAACCCATCAATATTCTTCAAACTTCCTTTAACAATAACAGCCATGTTTTTTATGACCTTAGAATTTGTTGTAGAAAAATACAAGGAGATGTCCTCCTAAAAGGGAGTATTCCTCTTGGGAGTATGTTACACTCTGCCTATAATCTAATTCACCGCCACAAAATAGAGACAAAGCTAATGAGGGAATAACACTCCCAAGACAACGCAAACTTTTAATCAGGAAGGGCACCCAGGGTGAAGTTGGCCTACGCTTCCTGGGCACTTTAGGCTTCTTTTTCAAACAACCCTCTTCTCTTCAACAGTTCACAGTCCCTCCTGAGGCTGCGTTCACATGACAGCTTATTTCATTTCACTGACATTCCCATTTCTGGCTCCCTTGTCCCCTTAGCATCTCTCTCTATCTCTTCCCATTCAGCATCAGTCCTCATTTTTCCCCACACTGCCTATTCCTTTCCTAGGGATAGGGAATGTGTGAGGTTTAATGTCAACTCGGGTGACTTTTACAGTCTTTCGCAGGAGACTGTTAGCACTCTGCAAATAGCTTTCATCGCTGACAAGTAAGAATGCTTGTGAAAAGCTCTATGATATCATAACCGTTTCAGGCATCTACAGCCACAGGTTCCGTCATCACAAAACCCCTTAGCTCACTACGATACCATTACACACAACCTTTGTTTGGTGTTCCTGGAGCAGTGGGGAGAAGACTGCTTCCAAAGGTGGTTAAATGTTTCAAGTGCTTTGCACAATACTGAAGGATAAGAGCAGGGGTCAGCAAACGTTTTCAGCAGGGGACCAGTCCACTGTCCCTCAGAACTTGTGGGGGGCCAGACTATATTTGGGGGGGGGGGATGAACGAATTCCTATGCCCCGCAAATAACCCAGAGATGCATTTTAAATAAAAGCACACATTCTACTCATGTAAAAACACCAGGCAGGCCCCACAAATAACTCAGAGGTGCATTTTAAATAAAAGGACACATTCTACTCATGTAAAAACACACTGATTCCTGGACCATCCGCGGGCCGAATTTAGAAGGCGATTGGGCCGAATCTGGCCCCCAGGCCTTAGTTTGCCTACCCATGGATAAGAGGTACCTCGGCTGCACTGAACCTTGGGTTCTAATTCCTGTTGAAGCAGGCTCAATGGTCAGTTCCAACAGAGTTGAGAATAAAATGTTTCCTAACTTCTAATCTCATGTCAAGATGCATCTGTATTAAATGAAACCTTCAGGAAACAGAAGTTACCTTGTATGCATTCAGGGTACCAACAGGACAGTAATTCATAACCGGTAACATAGTTGCACCGTTGATTTATTTAACTGTCTAAAAAGTCCTTGTGACAGAGAGGAAGGACAATTCTCATTGACAGAGCCATTAACGATTCCCCTGGGGCTTTTTTGTTTGGTTTTATTCTGCTCCTTTCAGCTTAGCCATTAAGTAAGAGAGCCCATCACCTCTCGGCACACACAGACTTTCACCCGTATGAATTCCAAAAATAATAATTTTTAAAAGCTGACATGCAATAGAGCAGAAATAAAAAAGGTGTGAAATTAATTCCATCTGGTAATTTGCAACAGGGTCACATCAAGTGTAACAAGAATAGATATGCATACATAACTGAAAATGCAAAAGTTTGTAAGGACATTTTGTATTTAGCACACCGCTTGTGCTAAAACTTAGCAATAGTTAAGTCTTGGAAGAATGTGTCATTACACACACCCCACAAACCCTGATTTTTTTCCTCCATCCATATTTACAAAGTGCTTCTTGAGGTTTCTCAAAGTCAAAATTCCTGCGGCACTATAGACACTAATTGGTTTGTTTAGTGTGACATGAATGTTAGCTTGTAGCAGAAATGAGACAGTATGTGCAGAAAGTGTGGTGCCTGCTATGCTGCAAAGAAGGCAACATGACACTTTAAGATTAAGACCTTTCCTGAAATCATCAGAAAATCAACTGCCTGAAAGGCCAAGCTTACACTCAGCATTTATTAGTATAAAAGAAAAGAAAAAACCCACAAAAACCTAGAGATTAATTTCAAAGTTAGTCCAGCATTTTAAAGCTTTGGATAGTAGTTTTACATTCTAACACAAACTATACTGAAGTTGCACCCTGTCTGTCAACATGGAGAATTATGGAAAAGCATTATTCCTTAGAACTGTTAAACCAGTGTGCACCTCTAACTACTGATGCTCTGAACATGCAAGTTTTCAAAAAAAAAATATCATAGATGTTTTGTACAACTGCAAAACAAAAAAAGAAACTGTCTCAGGATAGCTTTTTTGGAATTAGCCTCCCTTTGAAACATTAGGGTGTGATTACATTTTTTAAAAAAAGTATCATACCAAACTGGGGGTCTTTTTTGGGTGGGGGGTACCTTAGATTTGTCTAATATTTAAGCAATTGGCAGCATGCCAGTCACTTTGTTAAACACACTGTGTAGGCCTTAATGATAACAAAAAATGAATGCATACAAACATTGCCAGCTATGTTTGACAAGCAACTGAAAAGGTGCAAAAATGTTTTGCATGCACACTTAAATACACAGAGACTTGCCTTTACATTCCACCTTCTCCTGTGGGGAAAACCAACAAGTATTCAAGTTATATATAGATTTAAACTTTGATGTGGGAGCAAGCACCTTCCCCTTCACTGAAAAGTACAGTGCTGTGATGAATTTACTCATCACCAGTAAGAGCCTAGTGGCCATATTTGCATAAATCAATAAACCAGAATGGCTTATTGCGGGTTATTAGGAATGAGCATGCTGCTTTGCTGCTCTACTGCCATAAGTGAAATAGCCAACTAGGAAACCTTGGCTTCCCATTACATCTAAGCCATGGGTTATGGTTTCTGAATCCCTAACAAGGCATTACTGATACCAATTTGAAGCTCTGGTTTACTGCTGGTTTGTTTATCCTGTTTGCACTAGGGGATGAGTGAAGTTGGAGAAACTGGGCAATGAGCACCAGCATGCAGTTCATTCTGTCTGGAAGTCTGGCTTAACATTAAGTGCAAATGCAAGCACTGTGTTTCGATAACAGCCACAGGTGCTTCCATTTGCATGTTACATGCATGCCTCGATTGGCACTTGTGTCAAAAAAGATAAGATGTAAAGCAGCCACAGATGTTGCATTTGTGATCCAACATTGTCCAGACAACTCCTATAAAAGCAATAATGTCTCCGAGCATTAGTTAAACATGTGCTTTGCTGTCAATTAGCAACAGAAATGCAGAAAATAGGAAAAGCTGAAGCTAAAACAGTGATAATCAGCTGAGCAAAAGGATAGTCACCTCAAGTATTACCAGCAAATCAGGTAAAAAATGCAAATAGCACGTACCATGGTAGCAGAAGCTTAGTGAGCTCCTAAGGAGAAGCAGTGGAAACTGAAAAACAGGTAGGAAAGCAGAAAAGGAGGTGAGAAACCCAGCTCACATTGTGTAAAGATGCTATGCAAGATATTATTCTTTCATGAACCTACCAGGTTGGAGATGCAAAATAATAGAATCATAGGCTAATATGAAAGAACCACAACAGAAAAATAATGGGTTGGTTCCTACATAAATTCTGTCTCCATTAGGAGTGTGCAGGACATGAGGAAAAACAATGTCAGAATTGGTAGTCTAGGTGAATTTTTCATGCAGAAAATTTTGTTCCTTCTTACCAGATTGTGTGGGGGGAAATTTGACACTCTCAATGAGAGAACATGCCAAAGTCCCTGAAGCACAGACAGAACAATACTGTGCAATAAGCCTGAGTTAAATGAGACTTACTCCCAAGTAAATGTGTGTGGGACTATAGGAGTCTATTCATTTATTCATTTCTAGACTGCCCTTCATCCCAATGGTTTCTGGGGCAATAAATAAAACAGTTCACACCAGCAAATACAGCAAAAATCAACATTCATAATGAATTAAAAGCAATGAGAGGCAGCAATAGAATTGTGAAATTATAGTGCAGAACAAGCATAGCCATTTAAAAGGCCTGGGGAAGTTAAATGTTTCAACATGACACCAGAAGTTGAAAGGAGCAACAGAGCCTTGTTCCAATGCCATGCAGCTTCCATCCCACCAGGTCCTGACATTCATGCTTTAAGCATGAGTGTCTGAGCAGAGGAAGCCTATGCATGCAAGCCTCCATATGCCTAGGTTTCCAAAGAACCCTGTGTTAACTAGACCCCATCTGTAGAAACCTATACATGTGGAGGTCTATGAGCATAGGTGCCCCTTGCTCAACATCTGAAAATGCAGGCAGGGTCAAGGAAACCATGCAACATCAGAGTAGTTAGCGCCACTGGTGCAGCCAAGTTTGGAGTTAATCATGACCAATGTATGAAGGGGGCTTAACAAGTGGGACTTCATAAAGACAGCAACCTGCCAGATTCCCAGGTCTGTACTGGAGAAGAGAGCGCAGGCTGTGCCCCAGAAATTCGCAGAGGACCTCCTGTGCTAGGCTGTGGATTACATTCTCTCTAGGAAGCCAACCAGCCATAACAATGACAAAGATGGTACAGTTCTCAGAAGCAGAGAGGAAGGAACCAGAGTAGCTTGAGGTACACCCTAATTCTGGACTCAGAAGCAATGAAACACCACACCCAACACTCACAATTTGAACTAGCTGGAACTGGCCTTTACAAAACCAGTTCTCCCTCTCTGCAATGGCATCTTTCAAAGCCTGGACCTTTTCTTTCAATCCAATTAAGCTCCCACATGGAATGAGGATTGGCTTTCAAGTATTCTCCAATGGTACTGTTACAGAAGCTGCAACAGATCAATGAAGCAGCAAGCAGCCTCTGCAAAGAGCCCCTAATTGAGCAAAAGAGGGGGAAGTTCGTATGTCAAAATAAATTTGTTTTAACTCTAGAGTGGTAGAAGATCTTACTGGCTAAAGGGGTAATATTTGTGGTCAGTATCAGTAAGTATATTCATTCAGTATTCAATTATATCACAGTGTTTTGGCTCACTCCTTCCGTCTACTTTACAGCATTAATCCCTTGAAAGGTTGTGGGCTGCTTACTTCACCACAATATTTCCTAAAGTCTTCGCTTTTACAGCTTGCTTGTCATCATCCAGAATCATCACTGCAAGAAAAAAAGACAAAAGGATTCACAAAAATATATTTTTTCCTCCCCTCCCCTCTTTACTAGGGTTCAAGACAGAGGAAAGCTTCGAGCTTAATTGCTATGGAAAACACAACTTGAGGAAAGCAATTACAAAACATTTGCAGTGCCCAATTAGGCTATCTTGGGGCTCTTGTTTTTGCAGATCAGACTGAAAAATTAGTTTTAATTTACAGATTCAACTCAGAGGAAGGCTGGACAAAGCTGGAATGTAAATTACCTTTATCAGAGGGCAAGAGAGACCTTATTTTTAGAGTGGTTTAAGATGCAAGGCACAGCAACAAGCACAGACAACTACACAGGAGCTGATGCAGTTTAAAGAGCACTTGGAGGTTATAGATGGCAATTTACAAAAAGTGGCAGTTTTCACCTAATTTCATCTGTCTTTAAAGGTCAAATAGAGCCCAGAGGGTATGTATTTACAGTCACTGCACTTCCTGTCTCAGCCCAACACCAGTCACTTCTCCCACTTTTCACTTCATTCCTATCTGCTGTAGAGCAAAACCTTATTTATTAGTTTGGATGTAATGGGAAACTGTGGTTTAAAGTTAACTAGAAGCGCTGAACCCAGTGTGTGAGTGGAAAAGGAGTGTACATGCCCCACATTCATTCTTGACTTAATGCACCAAGTCTGATCTTGTTTCCACCTCATAATTATTGGTTCTTCTGCCAATAAAGGGCAAGAAAACATTGCACTTTTTCAACCTTCATCTATCCTGCCCTATTTCTTTGTTTTACAAAACCAGTCAACTCTTTCCTTTCCAATTAACTGAGCAATTCTCAGGCAAGTGAAATTGATCTTAAAGTTATCTCAGCCTGCAACCCTGTAATACTTACCTGATAGTAAGTCCCAGTGAACTTAATGGGACTTATGTCTGAGCAAATATGAATAGGAGTACACTATCAATTACATGTTAAGAACAGGTTAATTCCTAGATAATTTTGGTCAAACCATAATTCTGGTTATGAAAATATTGCAGCTTTCCTAATCTTACGGTTGCACATGTTCTGTTCAGTTGTTTTCCTGGCTAGAGGCAGCTACTGCCTTTCATGCTTTATACGGATTCAAAGCCTACATTTCCTACAGCAATCTTTTTTTTTAATGCTGAACATTAAAGATAATGTGCTTAGCATTCCTTTCAAATATCAGCCTCTGCAGAAGACTGCCTTCCTGGTATAAGTGGAAAGCAGGTAACTTTAAATTAAAAACAGCTAGACACTTGCGGAGCTCAATGGGCATTTGCTTTCACTAAAAAAAATGTTTCTGGGGAATCACTGACTAGACTAGCTAGCAACATCTTTACACACTATAAAACACACAAGTGCTATTTAATGTACAGAGATCAAAAACCAATATCTGAAATGGGGACATCTGTTCCCTGCTCATATTCTCAAACAGGGCATTACAGAGTACATGGCAGTTTTGATAAGGACAATTGCCCTCTGGTGTCATGGCCTCCTGTGTATGTTTCTGCTGGCACTCCTGATGCATGTACAAAGAACAATATCCAATTTCACACAAGGCAGCTTCCATTTCTCCTCCCCTTGTACTCTCTGCTCTGGAGGGTCCCCCTAGCCAAGGAGGAAGGCTGCAGGAAGGTGTGGGAATGGTCTATCACCCAGAGTTTCCACAATCACAAAGTACCCAGTACAACATCAGAAACAACTCTGGACACATATTCCTATTATTATTATTATTATTATTATACCACGCCTTCCCTGGCAGCTTACAGATAAAAACAAGAGCAACTAAAAATGTAAAAAAAGATATTAAAATACAATTAAGCATTGATAAAAATAGAATTAAAACTATATACATATATAAAATCAGTTTAAAATCACCAATAATTACACAATAGAAACAGCATGGCGGCAGCCCTTTAATTAAAAGCAGTCAATTATATGCAGAGGCTGCCCTAGCTTTGCCATAAATAGCAAAATCTACGCTCATCAAGAAGCATTTCCACATACAAAGGTGTCTGTGAACATTTGGGCTAGGCTGATAAAAACAGTCGCTTTTCCATTTTCACAAGCAGACCCAACTTGCCCAGGAGGTGGGGTCATGTACAAGGTAAGATTTGTGTTTGCAGAAGTGGCCTCAGGCTTCTGGATTCATCTCCTCCCTCAATTCAGCCCATAAGTGACTTCCTTGGGCTTCTGTGCCTGTAGAACTACTGACCCACATGTGGCGGCCCATATGGATTGGTTCATTCAAGGTGACTTCCAAGCAGAAAATGGAAGCAACACCCATCCATGCTACAGTCTGTTATGCCTGCTAGCAATGATGAATATAGGTTATTGCTGCATTAGGGAATTATTGGGGCGTGGTGTAATTCCCAAACTGGACAGCAGCAGGTTGAGAACAGGGGGGGAAATGTTTTGATGAGGACTTGTCTGAAGTGTGTTCTGACAAATGGAGATGTTGCTACAGAACAAAAAAAGTTTAAAGTGGCCAAGGAAGCCAGATCAATAATGGGTTTGGTCCTCAGCTGTTAAATACAGCAGCATTTCAGCTTTAAATGTCGTCTTGGTGTTGCACCCTGTGAGGAATCATGTGGTTCTTAGAGCTGGTAAGCTAATACTGTATTATAATGTTATACATGTTATTGTTATTGTTCCACCCATCTGACTGGGTTGCCCCTTCAGATGTCTTCTACAAATGTCTGGGTTGCCCCTTCAGATGTCTTATACAAATCAGATGGTTGTTTATTTCATTGACATTTGATGGGAGGGCGTTCTACAGGAATAATAATAATAATACTGTAATAACTTTACCATTGTATCCAGGCACCAGTTTTCCTGTCTGTCCTGAGGGAGGAGTTAGCGAGTTTCCTAAGCCAACACAAGAAGCTGTTATTGGAGATCCTGTTTCTGTAAAACAAGAAGCAGAACATATCATAAGATCGGTAGTTAATGACTTAATATTAATTGATCAACCAAGCATTTTTAAGACCCACATTATAAGAAAATGTCCTTATATGCAAGGTTAATGATAGTTGCCATTATTACAAACAAAATGAGCTCAAACAGAATATATCACATAGTTGATAGCTAGCCCCCATTTTAGCATTGAGCAGATACCAAAATCTATCTAATCAACAATGTGTGGTTGTGTAGAAATTGAGTTGCTTTTGTCCATTGAGCTTAGATGCATAGAAAACAGCATGTGTGATATATTACTATAAGCAGCCCTTAGATGGCAAGTCAACTTTAAGGATTCTCATAAAATTGGAGCTATTGCCCTAAAGGATCTCAAGGAGACTCATCTGGCCAGTCCTGTGAAATTACATCTCAAGCAGACATCAGTTCAGGAAAGCACATGAATCATGCTACCAATTTCACTTGGCTTCAAAAAGACAACTAAAGAGTAAGCAATGGATCACTGACATGCCCGTCTGCCTTGGTGGTAGTGCCAGAATTATTAATAGCTTAAGTGACTCCTGTTAAGATCAGTTTCTCAGGGCTCCTGCAACAAGGAGTTCTTGGTGGTACAGGGCAGGGGAGAAAATATTATGCAAGGATTTAAATTAAACCTCTAAAGCTACGAGGGAATTGAAATTGCTACCTGAAGCAAAGTTTGAATGACAGTTTTGAAGTTTATGAAGTGCAAACTGAACACTGATAAGTATCTGTGACATTCTCATGACTAGTTACAGGTAGGTAGCCGTGTTGGTCGGCCATAGTCAAAACAAAATTTTAAAAATCCTTCCAGTAGCACCTTAGAGACCAACTAAGTTTGTTATTGGTATGAGCTTATACCAGTAACAAACTTAGTTGGTCTCTAAGGTGCTACTGGAAGGAATTTTTTAATTTTGTTTCGACTCTCATGACTAGTTTCCAAAGGTGTCAAATTGTCAATAAGCTGGGGTTTTGGAAATCGGTTACTTTGCCATTTGTATATTGATCTAAATGCTTATTTGTTTGGGGTTTTTGTCCTTTCCCAGATGTATATTCACAGCAGCTACTAGTCAGAATCGCCTGGCAACAATGCAGTGAAATTTAGGGGAGAGGTCTTTTCCTCCTCTTGGAAGGTAGTACTGTATTTTTCACCCCATAAGGCACACCGGCCCATAGGGCACACCTAGTTTTTTTTTGGGGGGGGGGGAAATAAAGAAAAAAAATTATTTCCCCCCCAGGCACGGGGCTGGGGCGGGGGAAGCCCGAGCTTCCCCCGACCCCAGCCCCCAGAACAGGCTGCTATCCGCAAGCCTAGGGTGCCTGGCGCGACGTCGCGCCGGTCTCCCCAAGCTTGCGGAGAGCTCCCCGAAGCCCGGGGTGCGCTGCGCTGCGCGCCCCAGGCTTCGGGATGCAGGCAGCTCTCCGCAAGCCATGGGAGCCCGGCGGGAACTCCCGCGGGCTCCCCAGGCTTGCGGATATCTGCACACCGACCCCTCTCGCTCTCCAGGCTTCAGCGAAAGCCTGCATTCACCCCATAGGACGCACACACATTTCCCCTTCATTTTTGGAGGGGGAAAAGTGCATCCTATGGGGCGAAAAATACGGTAAGTTCCTCCATTGTCACATAGCATCATTCTGGAAAATTAAAGAAGTTCAGAATTTTCACCCAACTGTACCCATTTACTTGCAAACTTCCAGTTATTAGGCCATACCCACTGCCCATTCTTGAAGATGCCTCCGTGTTCATGCCTCAACACACCACAGGAAGAAGTAAAGAACCTTGAATATGAACCAAGGACAAATTGGAAATTCAAAAAACCAAATCCTTCCTTTAGGCAATCTACACTAGAGGCCAGTTCAGAAGGCAGCTGTGCTGCTTGAAAAGCTGCCCAAGGGGTCAGAATCTCAAACAAGAGAGATAAGAGCAGCAGAAGCTGCTAATGCCACAGCTTGAAGAGTCTTAAGTGGGAAAGGGCAGAAGACATAAGCCAGGGACAAGGCCTTAAAAAGGCACTTGAAAATGATCAAAGAAGGATGAATGAATGGCAAGGAGAAATGGAAAGGGGGAGAGAGAGAAGGCAGTAGTTAGAAGAGATGAAAAGGAAGTGAAACCCAGAGAGGAGGGGAATGGAACATAGACAAGAATAAAGAAACAGGAAGGTGGGAGGAAGGCAAAAGAAGGTGACATGGAGCTTCAATGAGAGAGTTAAGGAACAAGAAGAATGATGAAAACAGAAAACTGAAGCATACACCAAAGTTCTGTGATACAACCCATAAGCTTCCAAGAAATTAGTAGGAGCCAAGGGAAAGCTCAGACACTTGTCTCAATGTGATCTGAGCAACAGAAGTTTCCAGTGGAACTCCTTTAAGCCTTTAGGCCAGGCATCCCCAAACTCTGCCCTCCAGCTGTTTTGCACTACAATACCCATCAACCCTGACCACTGGTCCTGTTAGCTAGGGATGATGGGAGTTGTAGTCCCAAAACAGCTGGAGGGCCAAGTTTGGGGATGCCTGATTTAGGCAAACATATGGCAGTCAAGCATACTTTTGTAATACATATATAGAAAGGTTACATTGAGTGACTAAATTTACCAATTCACATAGCTGAACCTTCTGGTTTATAAAGCAACTCCTAAAATTGCTGTAGTTCTACCCATCACAACTAACATGATGTTGATGGTTAGTCTCTGCCAGCCTTTGCTTTGGAGACAGTGGCAGCTCTTTTGCTTTAATCTCCTTGTTCCAGGTTAGGAAAGCTGTGCCCAACATTAATATAGTTTACACGTACATTAAGACAGTACATGTAAATAGGTCTCAGCAATCATCAGTTTCACTCCAATTTCAGGGAAGTAAAAAATAGCACCTTTTGACCTAATGGACATTGTTACTGCCTCAAGCTCCTCTAGTCTTAAAGCGACTTGTTTAATTACTTAGGGTAATTCCTTATAGATTCCTTATCCTAGATATATAGGTTCCTTATCCTAAAGTTACAAATCCATTGGCATAAATCTGTAGGTGCATCTCTTTCACGACCATGCTGTATGTTTATAACAACATGGAAGTAATGAGAACTTTGTAATGAGAAATCACTGCCATAATCAAAAGCACAGTCCATCCTGCCTCCTCAGAGCAGGATTAAAACACACACTAAATTCATTTCAAGATTTGTCATTAAAAAACAACAACCCTCAAGCTGTTAGCAGGCTCCCAGTGAATGTCAATAAAGCACTACTGTAATTTTAGTTAAGATGTTTGATAAATATCAACTTTGTCATTGAAGCAGAAAGCAGGTTTGGCTAACAGATGATTCAAGGATCATGTGTGGCCTGAAAAAGACACCATTATTCCATTCCGAGGGATTAGAATGGATGAAATCGTCCTTAATGAACTTATTAACAGCATGATGCTGAAAAACAGCAGCGGTCTCAATCAAATTATGCTACAACTTCACTGGTGGCATAGGAAAAGGTAAATTTCTCATTGCTCTCTCTCTCTCCCCCCCCCCCATTTTAAGAACAGAATAAGCCTGCTGGATTAGACCAAATGCCCATATAGTCCACTACCCTGTTCAGATAACGGCCTGTCAGTTGCCTATGGGATGTCTGCAGCACAACATAAGCATAAGCACAACATAAGCATATTTTCCTATAGTGGAGGGACAATGCAGTCATAATGGCTAGTGGCCAATGTAGTTGTTTTGACCAAGTGTTTAGTTTTGTTTTGTTTAGGAGAAAGGAGCTAAGCATGTCTAGGAAATGGGTATTTTGTAGTGCCCACAGCAATTTCGACAGCCCCCTGCTCTAGCCTACTTGGTTTCTTGCTCTCCAAATCTACCTTGATAAAAGCCTGCCAAGTAAAGAACTATTAGTAACGTTGTTATCACTATTAAAAAAACACTTTGTGGACTCCAGTTAATTCTGTTACACATACAAGCTGTCAGAAATCAGGAGAGCTAATGGCAAGAAAATCACTACAACAACTGCAAAGCAATGATTCTGTCAGCAAAGGCAATAAATTATTATTGAAAGTCATATTTTTAAAGGCTATATACACAGGAAATCTCGCAGGATTCCTCACGAGCCAATAATCAAAAGATCCCAAATATTAATAAAGGTTAAATGTACCAAGAGAGACTAAATTAGTGTGCTGTCTATCCATTCACTAAAACAACATACTTCTCCAATGTCATTTTGTTTCATTTCCTTTCAAAAACAAATTCCATTCTCTAGATAGTAAGGATATCCAAACATAGCTACTCTATAACTGAATATTCTTCAGCTAGCTGTACAAAATGTTCTATTTTTAGTATTCAACATACCTGAGGGTACCAGTGCTATGGCTCTCTGATCCACTTCTATGGCACCCGTGAAAAATCAATAGGAAGCTAACTCATGCAAGAAATAATTCTACTCTCAGGGTACTGCACGGCAGATATGATTTTTATAGTAAGTACCATAAATTTAAGTGCTAATTTTAGTGGGCTCATAAGCTCCTGAAACTAGTTTTCCACGGATCAGTTAAAACAGCAGAGCATTTCAGCGGCAGACCTTTTTGTTTCTGTACGGTTCTTTGTGGATTTAGTCATTTTACAGGGGAATATACTTCCAACCTCGCATGAAGACTTTCTGTACCAATACAGAAATGCTTTGGGATGGGGTTGGTAACCACTGCAACATTGATGTATGCACAGGTGTTATTACTAGATATCGGAGGCACAGTGTGGGCAGGGTGGGCTGTCAACCCGGGCACAGTTTTTAGGGGGGCACATTCCTCACGACACCCTGCCAGCCCACAGGGTGGCACATACCCTGTTGCCTCCTTCTCATGCCGCCCTCAAGCGTGATTACAGCATATGCACAATTTTGTTGAACGTTCATGAAATAAAATGTTTTATACTGTTACCCACTATGCAGATTGAGAAAAATGACCTCAACGAAATCCCGAAGGAAGAAAAACTATAGTTCCGATCCAGCTACTTTGCTTAAATCGCTCTGATTAGTTGAAATAAGCAGGATTTAACTTGGGCTGGTTTTTCTGGGCCCCATTTCTGTCGCTCACTTTATGAAGCCTTAGAAAAGGCCTGCAGAACAAACTGACAAATCAAAAGATCACTACAAGAGCAGGCTAGTCACCATGCAGAAACATTCGTCCTTCTGAAGGATAACTCCCTACTGTACGAGTAAGGTTTTTCAAACATAGAGATGACCATCTGGTGTTGGGGAAAATGCAGTTTTATGCTGTAATATATGGAAGGCCGATTCTTCTGTCACATGTAGCATACATTACTGGCAGTTTATATGCACACCTACTGCACAAACCGTCTATCTGCTGTGCAGAAAACACTGCACACCATATATTCAGATCATCTCCAGTACAAAGACCCATGTGTATCTCCGCATACGGATAACATTATTTATAAAGAGGTCCTGATTGTGCATCATTTTCCAGCAGAGCGGCCATGTGGATGCTCCTTAGAGCCAAAAGGCCAGGTGTTTGCCTGGGAGTCAGGAAGTCTCGCTGAAGCAGGCTGGATGCAGTTGAAGCCCATGAAGCAAAAGCCAGAGGATGTTCCAGGAGCATTAAAGGTCTGAAGGCAGCATCCTTCTGCCTCACTGTGTAAAGCAATAGAACATCTGTCAACTGAACGACTGGATCTGTTCCCTATTGATTGGTCCTTTGCAGTATCCTTCCACATCAGCCAATCTGTGGAATCTGCTAATTAAGTTGAGCAAACCTTATAGGAAAAATGGGGAGTGGGGGGAGGCAACAGGGCATTTTTTCTCCATTCCCATCCCTACTTTCCGCCTTAAAACATGGAAGCCCTCCACAGATGATCAAGCCATATATTCATTTGCTTTTTAATCCAAAAAGTCTCAAACTGTAATTTTGTACATTTATATCCTGTTCTTCTTTCTGGGTCAACCAGGCTCCCTTCTTTCATAGCATGCATGACTCCAGCCCTGCCCCACAGAAGATGTAAGGAAGAGGCAAGCAGTCAGACAACTACTACATTGTAGGCAAGGAAAGGCATAAGAACTACAGCATTCTCCTCAGACTAAGGGAGAAAGAATCACCTTAGAAATCTCTCCCATTATTTACTTCCAGTATGTATCATGCATTGCATAATAAAGACACAATCTTTTTTTTCATGCACTTGATTACAATATGTGTTTCCCAGTTTTAATTCAATCAAAGTATCTTATTAGCTTTCTCTGTTGCAAATGTTTATAATGCTGCACAGTGGACATTAGATGCAAATTGATGTTACAAAAAGTAATTGCATATCTCATTTACAATTTAATCGTGTCCAGAAAACATTGTTTCTACTTTAGTCAGACTAATACCATAAAGATGAAAAAGACTGATTGGGCTGCTAACTATTTTAGTTGGGTAAAAATTATCTACAGCAGGGATTAGTGTTTTATAAACTGCTTCTTGCCCTCTCTGCAACAAAAGCTCCGCTGTGGCTGCCTTAAATCTTGCAAAGGATTATTCTTTCTATAAAAGAGATTCATGGAGCTTAACTCTCAGTTCCCTATTCTCAAATCATCAGTAAAACCATCTACTTTACCCTAATGAGGACTCCAGTCTCTGAACTAGAAAAAAAAGTGTTGCCAGGCAACACGAATGACATCAGCAGCTTGTAACATTTTCAGAGGAAATATATAAAACTAGAGGCTGTCACAGCTTCTCTCGCTTATGGAAATAAGATTTTAAAAGTGACCCCTCCAACCCAATTCTTCTAGTGGATCTTAAAATAACTTTTGAGATCAAAATCATGTCTGAATGTGATTTAGCTATTCCTTTCCCTACAATCAGAGTAATGACATAATGGCTAGGAAGAGGGGCAGAGGCAAGAGGAAGCGATTGAGCTTAAACAGTTGAGAGGAACTGAAGAGATTCCTGATACACGCTTAACTTACATGCAGCATCAGCGACAAGTGAGGTGGAATGGATACAATCCAATCTCACAATTATAATGAATAAGACTGGCAGAGTGCGGAGGGGAGATCTTCAGAGGGATGGGGAGGGCAGGCTAACGCTGAAACTCTACAACTGGCTTAGGTGGCACTAGGGATGGCGGAGAAATTTAATACAGTTTGTACTTCAAGGTAAACCTACTGATTTCACATTTTCCAAAAATAATTCCCAAACTGAAGCTCCACCGTCCATAAAAGCACAGCCATCCATTTTTCTGAATTTTGTACAGCAGTTCTTCACTCGGGTAACGTTTACAAAAATGCATATACTAAGGTAAAGTGTTTGTGAATGCATATATTATTGAAAGCAACATACAAAAATGTGTATAGTTTCTGTGTTAGGCCTCATTCCTCTTTCCTTCTTAGTTTTAAGCTGCTAAATTAAATCATTGTTTTATATAAACCTATATGGATTTTTGTTGTTGTTGTTTATATTTCTTTACTGATGATACTGCTTCATATATATTTGTTTCGCTTAATTGTTCACCTGATCTGTTGTGAACCAACTAGGGCACAACTTTGTGGGAAAGTGGCAGACAGACGAACAGATGCTGATGCTAGCTACCCTTGCTACAGAGTCTATGCAATACAGAAGAAAGAAAAGCACATGTCTGGTAGGAACACAGGTAGCTTTGTCATACCAAGTCATCCCTCTGGTCCATGACTGGTAGCAGCTCCCCAGTATTTTAGACTAGGGGTTTTTTGCAGGGCAAAATATGTCTGGAGATATTATTATAGCCCATCGTTCAGACAAGAGATAGTAGGGAATTGCAGCCAATATATATTATGCTAGCTGAACTAAAGGCAAAATTATCACAGACACTACTACTAAATCATTTTCTAACCATTTTTTCCTTTACAATTGTGGCTCCGCTTTCATCAAAAGTAATCGGGGTGGGGTGGGCCAATTCTTCTTTTCACTGAGTTTATGGGTCTAACGTTACACTGCTCCTGTGTGCAGGAGAAATGGGTTCTTTTTATTTATTTATTTGCTTCCAGCCAATATATCATCATCATCAGAAGAAGGAGAGGAGGGATCGGGACTAGAAGGCAAAACTGAAAGTTGGAATTGTTTGGCGAGATCCTGGGAAGGCTCTTCTGCCTCAGCAGAGGAAAAGAGATCAAACTGCTGAATTTTCAGGACAGGAGGAAAACGAACTGGGCCCAGCTGCTGCAGGCTGATTGGCACTGAGAAATCCAGAAAGGTGCATCAGCTGAAAAGCAACTCCTGCTGAGCAAAGGGCTGTAGCTGTTTTCTGTTGTGGTGACCCACTTTCAGAATTCTCTCCCCAAGGAATCATTCCTGGCACCTACTTTTATGTCTTCTTGTCACTGAGTGAATATATTTTTATTTCCCCAACCTTTAATCATTTGAAGAGGCATTATCAGATATGTTGACAGTTTTTCTTGTGCATTCTTTTCCTTTGTGTATTGAAGGATGAGAGACAGAGGAATATACAGAGCCCAGTCAGCGCAGCAGTAACAGGACTTTGAACCAACAGCAGGTGGGAGAGAATTTAAAGCACCAGGAAGCAATGGGAATGTGAGGTCTATCTACTGGGGTAACATATTTGCTAAACATTTTAGGATTATTAATCCCGATCCAGATTTCACCTGCAGGTAGACCAGTTTGGCAAGTGAATGGGAATAACCACCTTTCTACCACCTGGTTTCACCATGAAGTCAGGTGAAGTATCTTCATTTCCCTGTGTGGTTTTGATTTCAAATCAGGTGGGAAAAGAAAGTGGGATTTGCAGCATCAGCTAATTGGTGGCTGCTTCAAATCCTGCTTTCTTTGCCCGCAGGGGCAACAGAAGCAATACAGAAAGCCCTGCAAGCTAAGTTCCAATCAGTTGGTCGGTGCTTCCAGCAAGCCCCATTTGGGGCTGCATTCACTTTATTAATAAGTAGAATGATGCATGTCTTTTTTTTCCAGCAGAAGAATAGTCAGAAAATTCCCAGTTCCAAAATAAATCAAATAGCTCAGTTTTGTGAGAACAGAAACTAGAAAAATAGTAAAAGGGGCCCCAAATGAAATTACGAAGAGAATAAGTTAAACCACAGCCATGGGAGTCCATGGCCAAATGAGGAATGAATCCCAGCTATTCCCAGCTGCAATGATAAATTCACAGAAGAGCAAGAAGCTCCACATATCAATGGGCTAGAAAACAAAAACTTTATTCAGAAAGGTGGCTGTAAATGCCCAGAACTCACCAGTTTGCCACCAGTGATCCAAAACCGGAACCTTGAAGATTTTCTTGCACCATTCTAACGTATCCACATCACAGCGTTCACCAGCTACAAAGAGTGTTCGGAACCTGTTTCAAATAAAGATTATTTTCAGCATGTCTCCGCAATATAAAAAAGATAAGCACGCTAAGGTAAGTGTTGTGTGCGTGCTTTGAAGAATAAGCTATGGACTTGCCCTGTTGATGAAGCTGATTTAACAGACATCTGAAGGGAGCTCTGAGGTGACTAGCATGTGCTGCAGTTAGCAGAATTCTATATTCTATATGAATATAGAATTCTATATGATTCTGTATGAGAAGTTAGCAGAAATAGCTGCAACACTTCTTAGCTGAGAAAAATCCGTCATAAAGTGGGTTCTCTTCCAGGGGCACGACTGAGACAGGGCATTTTTTCTGCTTGAAGTGAAACAGCAACTTAGCAACCTCCTCCCCAAGAGCACAGAACCAAGACTGGCCAAGTTAATTTGGTGACGGAAGCAGAAAATCCCCCAAACTCCTCTCTGTGAGAGTAAAAACAGTTTAAAAAAAATAAAAATGAATAACTAACCATTTGCTACCCTTTCAGGACACTCAATATCAGCTGCCTGAGTTGACTGCCCTACTCTTCCTAATGGTAGAGCCAGCCCTACCCAGGGATTCATTGCAGTACCAAATTCGTTGTAAAAGGAGGATCTCCCCAGTCAAGGCTCTCACTTCTCCCTGCTATGAGAGGGGTAGAGAAAGAAGCATACAATAGGGAGGTTTCCACAAACTCTTCATGGTAGAATCCTGGGAGCTAAGCAGTAAATAAATAGGACCATTGACAGATATATGGGCACCACAGTTCAAGAAGGACACTGACAAACTGGAACGTGTCCAGAGGAGGGCAACCAAAATGGTCAAAGGCCTGGAAACGATGCCTTATGAGGAACGGCTAAGGGAGCTGGGCATGTTTAGCCTGGAGAAGAGGAGGTTAAGGGGTGATATGATAGCCATGTTCAAATATATAAAAGGATGTCACATAGAGGAGGGAGAAAGGTTGTTTCCTGCTGCTCCAGAGAAGCGGACACGGAGCAATGGATCCAAACTACAAGAAAGAAGATTCCACCTAAACATTAGGAAGAACTTCCTGACAGTAAGAGCTGTTCGACAGTGGAATTTGCTGCCAAGGAGTGTGGTGGAGTCTCCTTCTTTGGAGGTCTTTAAGCAGAGGCTTGACAACCATATGTCAGGAGTGCTCTGATGGTGTTTCCTGCTTGGCAGGGGGTTGGACTCGATGGCCCTTGTGGTCTCTTCCAACTCTATGATTCTATGATTCTATATGAGAAATGACAATGGCATGCTTCTTACAAATGGCAAAAGACACTTGCAAATTATAAGGAGGGAGACACATAGGAAACCTGTCCATAAAATGGCAGAATAAAACAGAGAAGATGTTATGTCAGCAACTGAACAGCTACAGATGAATTATGCAGAGGAGCTCCCATAAATATTTATTTTTTGTTTGTAGAACAATGCATACTAGGTTTAATGTGATAAAAGGCATGTTCAAACCCATGCAAGCCCATCTCTTCTCTCCTTGCTACAGCATTTTGGCCTCTTCAGCACTTTATTTATAAGACAGGGCCACCTCATTGGCACTTTGGAAGCTACGCAAGATTCTACCTCCACTCTGGTAAACAGAGATGCTGAGGAATCATTACTATTTAAGCAGCAAACAGTACAGTCATAAATAACATAGCCAGAATTCCCAGTATATCTTCTTCAGATTGTAGTATCTGTAATAACTAAATTCCACAACAAACATTCATAACTAAAAACAGCTGGCCTGTGATGCCTTAAACCAGGTGGGGAAACTATGGCCCTCCAGATGTTACTGGACTAAAGATCCCATGATCCCTGACTGTTGACCATGCTAGCTGGGGCTGTTGACCATGCTGGCTGGGGCTGAGGGGAGTTGGGAGTTGGGAGTCCAACATCTGGAGGGCTTACAACTCCCCACCCTTGCCATAAAGGGTAACAAAATTTCTGGTATGAGGGCTAGTAGTTTGGGGTAAGTGTAATATTGGTGAGTATCTAAATAATGTGTTAACAAGGATTTATTTAGCCGAGGTTTTGTGTATGTACATTCAACACACTTTCACTTTATTGTTTGGAAATTACAGCTGAATCATTTTTCCCCTCAGGCTTTAATTGTCTGAGAACTGCAGGGTTTCTCAGCTGAACATTTTTGTAAAAAACAGATGGTGAGTCATCATATGCAGCCCTATCCAGAGTGTGTTCATATGGGGGAGGGGAGAGAAAAGAGATTTCAGTGTAAAATAATGGGATATTTTAATTTTTAAGAACAAGCCTGAGATATATTCCATTCTCAACCCACCTCTGGGGCTGCCAAACTACCAGTTTTGATCATTTGTCACTGCAAAGGTTCATAAGGTCAAAACAGATTAGGCTCTGATGGCTGGTTACATCTTTCTCTTTCTTATAACAAATATTTTATGGTATTATTGTATTGGAAAGTCTTTATCTCCAAACTAGAATTTGAAGCCTACTTCATGTCATGATTTCCAATTCTGCTTTGTCAGCAAACCACGGCTTGTGCAAATCAAAGTTTGACCTATTAATACGTCACAACACATGATGGGTTGCTCAAACTAGTAATGGAGGAAAGGATGAAACTGGTGCATTCTGAGGGAGAAAGGAGGGAGAACCCAAGCTTGAAACACTGCAATGATGGTTTGACCATTTGTATGTACCTATGGCCATAGTATATACGCACACACAAAACCTATTTGTTATAGCATCTTTACAGCTGGCTGAACTCAAGATATACACTTGGGGCTTATTTCCGATAGTGAGTAAAAACAAGCTTCTGGCTTAATCTAAACTCACCTTGTCAGGCTGTGCTGTTTCCCCAAGTTAGCCTCAGGGTCCTGTTGACGGATTGCTCTAATTGCAGTCGGTGCAGTAAACAAGGCTACGACTCCATGCTCTGCGAGCACACGGAAAAAAGCTCCAGCGTCTGGAGTTCCCACCGGCTTCCCCTACAAAGAGATTTGGGACGTGTTTTTAAAGTTGTCGTTGGGTAAAAGTGTTCCATGAGTCTTCTGCGATTTGAGTCCTGAATGTAACAGTAGTTATCAACTTGTCAGCAGTGTATTCAAGCAACTGGTAAATTGCCTTTATACAACTAGAAGGAAAGCATCCATTTGCTGCTCCATTAAGGGCTCAGTTCCATCTTATGGTGCGCTCAGAAATGCACTACGTTCAGATACGAAATGTGTCTAAGATTTCAATTTCTTGGCTGTGTCAGCACCAATGTTTTCTTACTTATTCACTTACATTTCTGTTCTCCAAGACACGTAAGGGGGTGTATATAGCTGCAACACCATCAACACCACTTTATCCTCACAAGGAGTTGTCTCTGAATTGTTCTGGTATGTAAGAAGTAAAACTAATCCTCCCTTGGCTATCTATACACAGTTCTTCGAAAACAAAGGAAAGCAACAAGGAATTAATATGAGATTAAACAGCCTGACCCACCGGGTTTTTCTGTCTTACAGGAGCAGATCCTTAACAAGCTGTGACTTCCTGCATCTCTGAACTCTGCTAGGAGACTAACAAACATAATTAGCTAGATGCAACATTCAATTTGCGGTCTGAACATACAGGAAAGCACCTGCTCAAACCACTGGCAGGACTTTGTAGAAAGCTCTGAAAGAGGGGTTGATTCCCCATCCCTCATCCATACACAGTAAAACAGCACATATGGGATGAAGAGCTTCCACACCAAATTTCTTCCAGATATCTAGAAATAAAGAAGCTATTTTGCCTCGATAAGTCTCCTGTTGTAAGGATGGAAGGAAGGATGTGAAACTGGACAGAATGCGCACTTGAGAGAACAACTGTTGCAGGCAAGCAGCTTCCGGTTCACTACACTCCTGCATATTGGAGCTTAATGTACTCAATCACTGGGCTGTGGGAGGAAAAAGACAACCAGGGAAAAAGATCACTGAACACCCATCCCAAAGCTTGCATCAAGCCTGGCTTAAAGATCAAGAACACAGTACTTCACAAATATGGATGTGAAGTCTGATGTAGCCTCCTTAGATGAAGCCAGGAATGTATGTTCAAAAACAAGCCAATGCACCGACAGTAGACATTTCCTGCACATTGTATGCATGGGTTTTTAAAAGCAAATAGCAGGAATGAATGCCCCAGCTGAGACTGCAACCCCATAGTGGAGATGGGTGGTGGTGGTGGTGGTTTTAACTCTTTGCCACCTGGTGCGGTCAAAATCCTGATAGCCCACATGCGCCCACTATTGGAAAAAGCTCCTATTCGTGCCAAAGAGTTTAAGCCTCCTACCACTCAAGACTTGATTCCAGGTTGGCTCTCAGTATGTACAGTTTAAACAAACCTCGGTTTCCCAGATTTGAATGCAATGGGAAACTATGGTTTTAGTTATAACCAGAAGCAAAAATTTCCATTCTCCTCCTCTAGCACACAGAAGAGGAAAGGTCCTCAGGCTCACTGACTGACATAGTGGGAGGCTATGGCTTTCCACTGCTTCCTGATCCAGGACAGCAGGTGACTTTCCAAGTTCTGCCTCCTTTGGGTGGGCAGAGCTTCCGTGGCTACTTAAGAACCAGCTCAGTCCACACACGAGGCTGCAGAAGAACAGTCATGTCAAACCCATGCTAAACTTACATAACAGTAAAACATGCATTGGTGTTCTGTTTTCCCCCCAGAATTCTCCGAGAGCTTATTTAGCCTATAAAAGTAATTAAATAACAGACATTAGAAAAAACAGTCACCTCGTATAAAACCGTTGTATTCCCGTGCAAGAGAGGTCCGTAACAGATATAAGAATGGCCAACCACCCAGCCTAAATCAGATGCTGCCCACCAAACCTAAAAGAAAGAAAGATTTTATTTTTGAAGTATAAGCAGTTCTTCATAAGCATGAACTAGGTGAGGCTGTCCCTGAGGTTGTTCCAGAAGCAGCAGCAAGTGCAAAATGCTGCAGCTTGACTGCTAATTGCATTGGAATATTGCTACCATATGACACCGTCCTGGAAAAACTCACACTGCCTATCAATTAGCTACCAGGTGACATGGGAGGTGCTGGCACTGGTGTTCAAAGCCCTATACAGCCTGGAACTAGGAGAGCTAAAATATTGTCTCACACTTTATATACCCAGCTGGTCACTGCACTACAGGGAAGGCCTTCTACAGAAACCATATAGGATTCAGGCCTTTAGTGTGGTGGCACCTACCCTTCTGTTACACACCAGACATGATCTCTGTTATCTTTTTGGCACCTACTAAATGCCTTCCTGTCCCAAAAAGCCTTTTAAGTGGAGATTTTAAATTCCAGTTTGAATCTCTGCAGTGCGCTTGAAATAGTTTTTAAATATGCTTTTTTAAAAAATTTGTTAAATCACTTTGGGATATTTCACAGGAAACAATTTATAAAATGAAAAATAAATCAATAGAAGTTACCTCTTTAGATTTAAGGCCGTATATTGCTGACATGGTCCAGTTTAACATAACGGCATAGCCACCTGTTGGTCGAACAACACCCTAAGTGAGAAGCAATGTGAAATTAAGATAGTTTGTAAATAAATTATGCCCTGAAACTTCATCCCATAAGGAAAATTACTGTTTCCATAATTTAACGTTCTGAAGCAATTAGCAACTCTCTCCTTAGCTCCTAGGAGCCCTTCAGAATAGCAGAAATAGCCTTTACTTTTAGATTTTATCTCTGCAATGAGGAGGTGTGGAATGCTGTTCTTTTAAAAAAGAAGCGACTGCTCTTTGCAATTTGGTTTATATCCTATATATTGTACTGAAACCAGATAGATGCACTGCAGTAACTTAAGGCTCCTGACCCTAACACACTTATAAAGAACATTACAAGATTTATGCTGAACCTCGGGTAACTGAATAAAAACTTGTCGTTTTCAGTCCAAATACTACAGAGAACATACACGCCCAGATACTGATGTTTTCAGAAGAGTTCTGCTTGAATCCTTCCAGATCTCACAGTCCACATGTGAGAACAGCAGAGGCTGGAAAATCCACGCATCTGGCTTGTCATGGTCTCCACTTGGGATTTCTTAGAGAGAGGAAAATTCACTACTTGCCTTTCCTTAGAACACTGTCCCTAGTTTTCCTGGTTTTGTGTTACAGTACTTAACAGGATATGGCTTTGGATACTACAGGGAGCATGATTAGCCAGATACATAGCAGAATGTCTTGCACATCTAAGTTGGCACTGCTTCATTCATGGGATACGGACACATTTATTTTCTCAGTAGGCTAAGGTCTTCCCTCAGAAGTAGGCACAGAGGAAAGAGACCTTTTTGGCTATGGCATCTCACTCGTAGTCCTCTTCCCAGCAAGGTTTTCCTGGCACATGCTCAGGTTTTTCTCTTTTTTCTTTTCAAAGGTGCCAGGCAAAAGCACCCCCCTACTCCCCAGGCTTTTAGTCTCTGATGTATTTTTTCCATCCGCTGTGTTTACTTTCAGAAATGCCTTCCACTGTTTATGGTGTCCCTATTAGTTACTGTAAACCTTAGTGGGGAATTTTGAATCAAAGGGCAGTATAGAAATGGCTTAAATTAAATAAATAAAACTATCTGCCCCCCCCCCATCCCTGCATGAGATGGTGAGAATCCACTTGTGCAAGTCATTTGCAAATACAGCTGCTGATGCTTCTTGTTAACTAAGGCTTAAGGTGGGGGACTCTCCTCGGCCTGAGCGCCACATCTGGGGAGAATCCCAAGGGCCAGACAGGAGGGCCAGGAGGGCCGCACTAGGCTCCTGGGCCTGACGTTCCTCACACCTAATCTCAGGCCATTCTCCATCTCTCCTCATAGACCATTTGCTAGCAATCCCTTTCCTCATCTAGTCTATTCAAGTTAGCTATATGTTGCTGTAAACTTTCCTCTTGCTTCTTGTTTATGTGTGAGACTCTATCTTTTGATGTTGCTTCTTCCCACATGCTATTCCATATATTTCATGTGGTTTATTTCATCTGCTTCATCGATTTCATCCAAATGCCATCACAACACAGGAGCTTAGTTCCTTGATCTTATCCTGATCCAGCACAACACAGGACCAAAAAAAAAAAAAAAGGCTGTGTGGTGTCATCTGGGGAGAATCAAGAGAATCTGAAGATCAGAGACACAGTGGAGCTACCTAGGATCTTCAAGGTGAACTGCTGCAAGGTGCAGCAGCAGGCTGGGAATACTTTGGTTGGGAAGAAAAATCCAAGTGGCTCAAATATTCACTGACAACACCGCTTCAGACATTAAAAGTGATGTTGGAGTAATGAAATACGATTAAAGTCAGCTCCAACAACACTAATCTTTTATGAGTGCTAAGCTCTGGGAAAACATTTTCAGCCTTCTAATTAAATTCTCCCTCATGTGGAATAGAGCATAATTTGGTCACAGATACTGAAAGGCAGGGCCTACCTTGGGGGTGCCAGTTGTTCCTGATGTATACAGAATATAAAGCGGATGGTCCGAAAGGACAGGGACACAGTCACATGGCTTTGCTTTCACCATTTCTTCATGCCAGTCCAGGTCACGCCCTGGTTTAAGAGCAACATCTCCCTGCGTGTCAAGAGACAGAGCACTGCAACCATTTAAACTGGATTTAACAACAACAAGAAAGGCTCAGAAATAATTAGCTGTTCCTTGTGGAGCACCAAATATATGCCTGAATTCTCTACGACATGACTTTTAGCAGCTGTACTGAAACTTACAAAATTATAAGCTTTAAACAAGTAAAGCAATAGAAGTTTTGCCACAGAGAAAAATAAATGTTACTTAAGTATCGTAAAAATGAAATGTTCCAATTAAATATTCAGGGAAATTATGAAGTCAGAGAGGGAAGGGAATAGTCCAAGAAAATGTGTCAAAATATTTGCTGTAACTCTACCATGTTAGGGCGGCTATAAACCAGAACTTTGTCAGGTTGGTGCTCTATCATCTCCAACGCTTTCACTAAAAGTGGTATGTATTCGACTTTTCTTCCAGGTTCTATTCCAAAAGTTGCTGCTACAACCAGTTTGGGCTGAAAGAAGAGAGAAAGCTTTATCAGTTAAAATATTATTTTCGAAACGGGCAATATCATCACAGGTCTTTGGGTTGTTTCACAAGTTACCGTACTTTGAGATTAGGCTAGGGAATGAGGAGTCCCGCCTCCAATTCCTGTAAATAACCATATTCCAGTCAGATCCCTAAGCTGTTACTAAGAACTGGGATCCAATACAAACAACACCTCCCGTAAAGGTAAAGGGACCCCTGACAGTTAAGTCCAGTCACGAACAACTCTGGGGTTGCGGCGCTCATCCAGATGTTTTTGGCCTGCAACTCCCATGATCCCTAGCTAGCAGGACCAGTGGTCAGGGATGATGGTAACTGTAGTCCCAAAACATCTGGAGGGTCGAGGTTGAGGAAGCCTGCTTTACAGGCCAAGGGAGCCGGCGTTTGTCTGCACCGCAGACAGTTTTTCTGGATCATGTGGCCAGCATGGCCGCTTCTAGTGCAATGGAACACCGAAACCAGAGCAGTGCAGGGAAACACCATTTATCTTCCCGCCAGAGCAGTACCTATTAATCTACTTGCACTTTTGGGGTGCTTTAGAACTGCTAGGTTGGCGGGAACAGGGACTGAGCAACAGGAGCTCAACCCATTGTGGGGATTCGAACCGGCAACCTTCTGATCGGCAAGTCCAAGGCTCAGTGGTTTAGACCACAGCGCCACCCACGTCCCTCCCTTACCCAGTCCTAAAACCACAAGCTCACCACTAATACACAGATACACCACACTTCACACTGCTTCTTCTATCTATCAAATGTTAAAACCTGGTATACCATTTATGTGTAGACATTTCTTTCTTGTTAAGAGAATAAATTATTTTACATAGACACCGGGTGACTTTTAAAATGAAAGTTCAGCACGCATTTCCTTGAAAACATTTCCTTGAACTGGGAAGGAGGAGGGAAGCTTTAAAATGTATTTGTTTTATAGCCTATGTAAATACATATAAAAGAAAATATATTTGTTTTATAATCTCTGCCCCACGTAAATATAAGTTTCTGAAGTGTTCGTGCTATGAAAGATATACAAATAACCTGTGATGACTAAAGAGGCTGCTGAGAAAGAGAAAGAGAAATAGCTGGGAGAAGTTTTGTACTTTCTCTTTTTCTCTCTTTTTAACCACTCATGAAACATTAGAAAGAAGGGTCAAGACTGAACCTCACCACCTAGTGGATTTCCTTGAAATAGCAGGTTTGGAACAAGATGAGGTGAGCTGCCATCTTGGTTCCTCTGTGTCTTCAATCCATTCCCCCCAAGTGGCCAGCTGTCGGCTGCACTTGTGGGGAAAGAGTGCTTGACCTGCTTTCTGGAGAAGGGGCAAGTGAGCAAATTCCCATTAGAAACAGAAGGGCATGATGACAAGTGAGGAGCAGTTTGCTTGACCACTGTGTGCCTGACACTTTCTTTTACTGGCAGCAAGCAGAGACTGCACGTCTTTGAAGACTGGAGAATGTGTCATTTTGTCAAATTAGAACACATTCCAAGCCCTCACACATATTTTTTCCCACAGAAATACAATGAGAAACTGCCTATTTATTCCAAAACTTTTCCAATTTGAAAATAAAGAATTATCATGTATTTCCTGTTTATAGAAAAAGGTAATCAACATTATTGGTGGAGTGGTTCCAAGTACTTGCATTTTATTGCCAAAATTTCATTATCCCCATCAACTGGAAAATTTCAAGGATTCTTTTAAACACTATACCATTTTTTATTTAAAAAAAAAAAACTATTAAAGGGAGGCATTTCTTAACCATAGTCACATAAAACTAAAGACACATGACAGCCTGTTCAGTGTATTGCAACAGATAAAAGAAAAACCTACACTTCAATTCCACATCTTTAATCACTGTTCGCCTTTTAGACTTCCAGTAACCTGACAAGACTAACAATGATCTAGGGTGGGCTTTTGTGATATTCCCATAGCTATTTAAAATTCAAGATAAACCACCGGAAAACTGATATGATGCGTGTGCTACTCTGGAGCAGAATGGGAAAATAATTATTTTTATTAGCAAGAGTGAATGTGTACTCACCTCTTTAAAACGAGCACCGTGACTAAAGAATTTGAACAAATAATTATGAACAAGGAAAGAAAGAGGCAGCAGAAATAGTGTAAATTAAGTCCTGTAACTGACGCTGAGAAGATTTATTCTCCTGCAATGCCTGAAAGGAGGTTCGTTTCCCTTCATTCCTCTACTTACACTGGTATCACTTGCAAACACCATATCAGTAAGAGCAAAGCAAGAATTAGCCAGAGCAAAGTCAGCCATAAGCTGGCAAGCGTTGACTGAAAAGCAGTCACTTGTAACGGAGCTCTTTCTTGTTAATATTGCAATAGCTGAACCACACTGTGAAAGGTAGACAGTATGGGGAAACATCCATTATGGCACCTGAAGATGTTCTAATGCAGCCATGACCATCAGATGTTTTGGACTACGACTCCTACCGTCCCTGGCCATTGGCCAATCTGGTTGGGGCTGATGGGAGTTTTAGTCAACAACATCTGAAAGGCACCATGTTGGCTACCCCTGCTCTAGAGTGGAGCCACATCTAGCATGTTTGACGACTTTCTGAATGTATTAGGTACAGGGATGCCAACAGGATTTCCTGGGCCCAGTACACTATAGGTAGACCGGGGGCCCTGTCCCATTCCCCATCCCGTAAGGTAAAGGTAAAGGTAAAGGTAAAGGGCCCCTGGATGGTTAAGTCCAGTCAAAGGTGACTATGGGGTTGAGGCACTCATCTTGCTTTTGGGCCGAGGGAGCGGACATTTGTCCACAGACAGCTTTCCGGGTCATGTGGCCAGCATGACTAAACCGCTTCTGGCACAATGGAACACTGTGACGGAAACCAGAGCGCATGGAAATGTCATTTACCTTCCCGCCTAGTAATCTACTTGCACGGATGTGCTTTTGAACTGCTAGGTTGGCAGGAGCTGGGACAGAGCAATGGGAGCTCACTCCGTCGTGGGGATTCGAACCACCAACCTTCTGGTTGGCAAGCCCAAGAGGCTCAGTGGTTTAGACCACAGCGCCACCCATGTCCTTCCCCCATCCCCTATCCCCACCCATCTATTGATGACTGCTGCCTATGTACATATACAGTGGTACCTTGAGTTACAAATGCCTCAGGTTACAAATGCTTCAGGTTACAAACTCTGCTAACCTGGAAGAGTTACCTCGCGTTGAGAACTTTGTCCCAGGATGAGAACGGAAATCGTGGCTTGCGGCACAGCGGCAGCAAGAGGCCCCATTAGCAAAAGCACGTCTCTAGTTAAGAACAGTTTCAGGTTAAGAACGGACCTCCGGAACAAATTAAGTTCGTAACTAGAGGTACCACTGTATTAACTTAACCTATCCTATCTCCCAGAGCTGTTGCACATATAAAAGGGGGACAGGGTAAACATATACAACCTTGAGCTCCTGAGTGAAAAAGCAAGTATATGCCACACTCTGCATAGTTGCACTATGGAACACATCCCCACAGGCTATAGTGCAATGGCCACCAGCTTGGGTGGCTTTAGAAGAAGGTGAGACAAGTTCATGGATGAGGCCATCAGTGGCAGCTAGACACTCGGACTATTGTCTGCCTGCACAGCTGCTTCTGAATAGCAGTTGCTGGAAACCTTAGGAGGCGAGACAGCTATTGCTTTCAGGTCCTGGGGCCTACTCCAGGAAGGCCCTTCTTTTGGATTACCATTCACAGATCATGTAAATAAAGCCAAAAAAGCAGCTTCCCTCAATGTTTCAGTGTCCTGATGTTTACAGCAAAATACCTAAACAAACAAACAAAATGTCGATCCTAATACTATGCAAAAAAAAACCCCAAATCCTCAAATGATGTGCAGTTTCACAGCTTTAGTGTCTGAACGACCAACTCTCACCCTAGCCTACCTCACAGGGCTGGTGTGAAGATAAAAGCGGGCAGTGAAAGACAAAGTACACAGCCATGAGCTCCTGGGAGTAAAACTGCGAGACAAATATACAACAAGCAAGAAGTATATGCAATTTCACAACTTGCAGCCCATTTTGCCCACCTTGATAAACAAAAAAAGTATCCTGGTGTTGAAGTACAGTCTTATAGAAATGTTAACATGCTACAGCTGTAAGGTGTTTGCTGATTCACCTTGTATTTTATATTTCTGTTTATGGTTAACGGGTGTATTAATAAATAATAGCCCCGTGATGACAAGCAGACCAGCAATGGGGACGTGGAAACTTGGGAGGGGGGGATTGCAAGAGCACCATTTTTCCAAGTAGGAAGGAAGCCTTGTTTATTTCAAGGAAATTACTTCTAAGTAAAACATACCAAATCCAGCCAATTGTGTTTTACTCTATTAAGGCACCACACTTGGGAAGTGAATGAAATAATTTGGACGCAGCAGAAATTGCTAAACAAACATACCCCAGTTATCTTCCTCCGTCCAGCATCAGGCTAGCAGCAAGGAGCCTCTCCTGATTTTTCTGCTGCTCTGAGAGGGCTCTCCCAAGTCCCAGGTGAAACTGCTCAGCATTTCTTGCTCTGATCACTTAGCAACAGAGATTAAGTGTCCTTACTAATGGTGCTGCCTGCTGAGTGCTGAAGCATTAGAGCTGCCCCCATGTTTTGTGTTCCAAGTTTCTTCAGAAATATCCAATTGACTTTCTTTCTTTCTTTAATGAAAACTAAGAGGCTGGGGTCCCTGCTGAACTAGGGTCCTAAATCCTGCCACTTCTACCCACCTGTCAGCAGTCCTGATTAGAAATGTCAGCTCCTTAGGAAAAGGTCAGTTCTGAGGCTGAAAACACTGTCATTAGAGCAATTCATGTCCTCCTTAAAAGCAAATAAGTCTATAAAAGCTACCAAGCCTCAAAAAAAATCTCTGAGTGGCCTGACTGCAAAAAATGAAAATAAAAATCGCAATATCATCATCATGAAATGAAATTAAAAATAGTATTTTCATTTACAAGGCTTTCCTTCCACGGTTGACTAGTGAGTAGCACAGCAGTGGGGCAGATGATGTGCAAGGTTACTTGCCAGCTTTCATTTATTACAAGACCCATTTCACTTCGCCTTTCCCATACTTGAGGAAAATTAATTGTTACCTTGGCATGATCAATGCGACTTGAAAGCTCTTTTGAAGCAAATCCGCCGAAAATGAGACTATGTATAGCTCCTATTCTTGCACACGCCAGCATTGTGTACATCGTCTGTGGAATCATTGGCATATAGATGACAACACGGTCTCCCTTCTTCACACCGTGGCTCCTCATGACACCAGCTAGCTTGGAAACCTGAGCAGGCAACAGTTTAAAGTTATATGGAGGTTACTCACATAGTACTAGCACCAGAATCCAGGGGGGCTTCAACACAATGGCGCCGATGGACCCCCATCCCCTATGTGCTTTATACCCCTTAATGTAGCCACACTTTGTTCTTCTTCTGCCATTGCTGTCACAGCAACACCACCACTTACCAACCTGCAAACTGCGCCAGTGAGTGATGTTTTAGCAGCAGGTTGCCAACAAAGGTCCATATAGTTAAAGCTACGGTTTTCCCAGTAGTGATGTATGGAAGTGAGAGCTGGATCATAAAGAAAGCTGATCGCCGAAGAACTGATGCTTTTGAATTATGGTGCTGGAGGAGACTCTTGAGAGTCCCATGGACTGCAAGAAGATCAAACCTATCTATTCTTAAGGAAATCAGCCCTGAGTGCTCACTGGAAGGACAGATCGTGAAGCTGAGGCTCCAATACTTTGGCCACCTCATGAGAAGAGAGGACTCCCTGGAAAAGACCCTGATGCTGGGAAAGATGGAGGGCACAAGGAGAAGGGGACGACAGAGGACGAGATGGTTGGACAGTGTTCTCGAAGCTACCAGCATGAATTTGACAAAACTGCGGGAGGCAGTGGAAGACAGGAGTGCCTGGCGTGCTCTGGTCCATGGGGTCACAAAGAGTCGGACATGACTAAACGACTAAACAACAACAACAGGCAGCGGTGACACTTTGGAATGAAAGACAACCTCTACTCCAAACCACAGGTGCTGGCTGCCATTTAATTTCCCCAAGATGTAATGCCTCTGGGCCCACAGATCTATGCATTCTATAGATTTGCATTCTGGGTGAATTAAAATGGCAGGTGACCACCACCAATGGAAGCTTGCTTGGTTCCTATTCTAAAGTGGCACCACTGCCCACCCACTGTTAAACTGGCTGCCCAAGCCTTTGGTGAGGAGAATGAGGGGACTCCTCAGCCATGGGGGCCCCTGGCCAGTGCCTAACTGCTGGCACAAAGCCTGTATTCACATGATGTGTTCTATGAGAGTGAGAGTATAAGAGCACGAGACTCTTAATCTCAGGGTCATGGACTGGTATCCCACATTGGGGAAAATATTCCTCCATTTCAGGGACTTCGACTAGATGTTCCACATGGTCCCTTCCAACTCTATGATTCTGTGACCGTTCTTTTATTAAAACGACCAAAATGTGGCTATCCCCCAAAAACAATTTATGGGAAAACATTCAAGATCAATAATGTTTAACTCTTAAGAGAAGAAAATGCTGCATAAATCTACCACAAGCAATTAGTAAAGCATGCTAATTCAGTGTATACCACTTGAAACGACACGATCAAAAACTGAGGCAAGGTATGGAGGGAAACGAAGATTTGAATCAGTTAACTTGGGATAAACAAGAAATTAAAAGTTGGTATTCCTTTAGTCCGTAAATACAAACCACAACCAAAAGTAAGCTCTAATCAAAATGCTATTAGTAAAAGATGCTTTAGAAACACACGAATAAATTTCACTCATGAGCTACTCCATTTTATTAGAAATGTGTGTGGTATAACATGTAATTATCATGTTTGGCAAGTTGCACTTTTTAGCAAGTAAGATAAAGCTATATTAAGTAAACCCAGATAGGCATGTGCCCCGAGTACAAAGTCTGCCTCTTATAATATTTATGAGACTATATCAAATCCTGCCAACGTCACATGAGCTCCTCATTTCAAACTAGTTACTTGGCTCCATGTTTCCCACCCCCAATTTCATACTAGTTCTAGCCAAATAAATCTAATAGGACAATAAGTGCACCCTTTGTGAAATCAATCCATTCGAGTGTCATGCTAAATCATAGTTTAGCGTGATAAGAATGAGCCACACCAAGAGGGATACAGGAAAAGGCTGTGGCTCAGTTGCAAAGCAGCTGCTTTGCATGCAGAAAGTCCTGGGTTAGGGAGACAGAGGGTCTGACTGTGTAAAGCAGCTTCTCCTCCTCCTAAATATCAAGGTGCAGGAAATTAAATTTCAATTAACGGTATACATGTGGCAGGTATCAATGCAGCCAGTAGGATCACAGTTAATGCGAACGGTGGTTCATAAACCATTTGGTGGAAGCTAAGCAAGCCAAAGTAAGTTGTAACAGGCATATGCAAAGAATTGCCTTCAAAGGAAGTAAATTAATTGTGATTATAACCTCCCATCTAGTTGGAAGATTCAAAAAGCAGATGTTGTTCAGCTAAAGCAGAAAAGCTTTACAGATCAGGATGCTGAAAGAGAGAGGCAGGGTGCTAATGGAGTTCTGGAAAATGCAAGGGGTAGCACTTTTGCTGTGAAAATCTAGGAGCTAGTCTGCAACAACCATTTCTGACTCCAGCCTAATTATGCGTTTTCTTGCTTCCTGTGCAGCTTTTTTCCAACTGAGTTGTGATCTGTAAGAAATGCACTCTGGCAAAAAAAAAAATGTGTTGTTGTTGTTTTTAAGACTATAGTGCTTCTTATACAGAATATGATTGTTGTCATTATAGGAGAGGGCCTGTGAGTAAAGGAGATGCAAGAAATTTTGGATGGACAGCAGCCCAATTGGAAGTTGACATACTGTATATGCAAATCAGTTTTGAAAAGAGCACATGTGGTAACATGGCTATATTTGCAGCTTTCCTGCTTTTTTTGTACTGCTCATTGTGCACTGACCCATTATTTTAGCTCCAGTTTGCGTCTCAAAACACTGAGCAGAAGAGTCTCAATAACCAGGGGTGGGAAGTGGTTTCGGGGTGAAAGGCCTGAAGCCCAATCCATAGCTCTGCAGCTTTTGTCACTGACATATCAGAAACACTACGTAGAAGAAATGATAGCATTTCTGAAATACTGATTCTGTCAGGCACATGTTTCCTCGGGTATAGCAAACTGGTGATCCAGTGGTGCCTTGTGCTTATGTTACAAGCCATCAGAACAGGCCCATTCAATTACGGGAGGTGGCAATTTTGCACACGTTCAGGAAGAGGGTGGAACAGAATGGGGAGGCTAACAAGATGGGGCGGGTTTAAGTGCACTCCGCTGACACGCATGGTGAGTCCAGTCTGATTAAATTGTATAATTTGACATTGGAATAATTGGAATTAATAATTGTATTAATTGGTTAAAAATTGTATTGTTATAATGAGGCTGCTGTTGGAACGATATTGGAAAATCAATAAAAATGTATTTTGAAGAAAAAAGAAAGTGTTGTTTGTATAGGCTGAAAATGTGTATTTTATTTATGTTGAAAAGGAGATCAGGAAAAAGAGAAAGGAAATAAAAGGATTTCCTCCCCCAGAAAGGTTTGTTGTTTAAAAAGGGTATTTTAAAACACACTTTTGTCGAGTAATGCTATTTAACATGATCTCTTGCTTTCTTTTTGTAACAGTTCAGGTAATTTTCAACACACAAAAGAGTTGACGCAATGCCATGCTTTGACAACTAACCTTTAAATCCTTTCTTGGCTGCCAATCCCTAAGGATCATGTAATTACAAAGGAAAAGGCTTCCTCATGTCACCTTACTAACTTAGGAAGTGCTGCAGTCAATTTGCAGCTGTAAAACATCTCTTTCCACAAAACCTAAATTAGAAAAAAAACACATAAACATTCTATGCAGCTCAGAATGCTGTGGACAGCTGAAGTAAACAAGATGGCTGTTGTTTTAAATGAATAATACCAGCACAATTTCAGAGCTGAGCATAACCTGAAATGAAATTGTATAGACTGACTAGCATATTTTATAAATAATCCATCCCTTTACATTATGCTGGTCAAAGATTTATCATAACCAACGAAGACAGAAGACCAAAACAAGCCGTCTAACTGTAATTTACTGGCTGATTTAAGATTTCTTCATCTCACTTTCCATTAGCAAAGTGGCACCTGAGACAGTACCGAACATCTTCATCTTCATCGTGACAGAGCAATGCTATTGTGGTGGTGGTGGTGGGAGATTTTGTTACAAAGCTGCTGCCTCTCCGTAAACCTTGCTGGATCACTGTGCCAGGGCAAGAGGTGAGGGTGTTTTTTTCTTGTGCCTTTACTTTTTTATGGGGGAAAAAGTGTCATTGGGAGGGAACTGAGGACAGTGGTACCTTGGTTCTCAAACTTAATCCATTCCGGAAGTCCGTTCCAAAACCAAAGTGTTCCAAAACCAAGGCGCACTTTCCCATAGAAAGTAATGCAAAATGGATTAATCCATTCCAGACTTTTAAAAACAACCCCTAAAACAACAATTTAACATGAATTTTACCATCTAACAAGACCATTGATCCATAAAATGAAAGCAATAAACAATGTACTGCCGTCACACAATCAATCAATCAATCAGTAGCTGAACTGGGTTCCACACAGTCACAAAAACAAAACAAAAAAGAGGCACAAAAATGCAAAATAAATAGCAAAAACAGACAGACCTCAGAGTAACACTCAAAACGGAAGTGTGGCACTCAAAATGGAGCACATTCAGCTTCTGAGAAAGGTTTGCAAACCAGAACACTTACTTCTGAGTTTGCAGTGTTTGGGTTCCAAGTTGTTTGAGTACCAAGGCGTTTGAGAACCAAGGTACCACTGTACTGGATGGCTCCTTTGGGGGAGTGTTGGGAGAATGACGGAGCACAGAATCCTGTGGATCTTTGAATATCTCTGGAACGTCCCTTGATTCACTCCCAGAATGCCATTCACTCCACCACAGCTGGCAAAACACTGCCAGTGAGACATCCATGTCATTGAGCGGCCTTCCAGGGGGGTTTCAGCAGTGCAGGTGTCATCCTGCCAGCTGAGCTCCCTCTCTACCAGCACAACAGCACTTATGCTGCACCCAATGGCCCTTCAGCTAGCCTTTAGCCAGCTTTAAGATTGTACCACAATTATTGTTTAAAATATTAATAATTGCAGTTAAAACTGAGGTAACAAAATACCCATGAAAACCAGTAGGCTACAAAGAATCAACTCAAATCATCAAAACCCATCACCGAATGCCCTTATTATCACATTTTAAGCAACCTTAAAAAGCAACTGGTGAATGGCGGATAAAATGACCATCCCAAAGCACAGGTATCTCCAAAAAGAAGGTACAAAGGAAGGTGCCTTATACCAAATCAGACCATTGGTTCATCTTGCTCAGTATAGTCTTACACTGGCTGGCATTGGCTGTCCAGGGTTTCAGTCTGGGTCATCTCCCACCCTGACTGAATCTGGAAACTCGTGCTCTCAACCCAGATGTTTTGCCACTATGCTAGGGCCCTTCCACTAAGTTCTTGCCCTCACAATATTTTATTTTTGTAAAAATCCAGGGCACAGAGCAGTGCGTCCTCTATGGATCTAGGCTTAGGCAGTACCTCTTCTCACTCCCTAATAAGGTATTCCCAACCTCCAGATCATGTAAGGCTGAATTAGCACTGTTAATTCATATGCAAATATGAGAGTGACAAAATAGCAAATAGCTATGGAATATAGGTTTTGCTACACTGCCTCAAATCCAGCACTGCACCAAACAAAGTTTTGCTAAGGTTTCGTCTCAGGGTTGTATGCAATGATGCAAGAGCAGAGCTTATCTTACAAGGTCAATCTTCTCCTCTTCACACCCCCCCCCCAAAAAAAATCTGCTCCAGTATTTCCCCCAACCCTCTGGAATTGAATTTGAAAGCACTTGGAGAGCTGGAGGGGGTAGGATAGGACGTTCAACTGTGTCCACAATGTATGAGGAGAACAGTAGATAACTTATTGTAGGGGTTTGCACCAGATGACCCTTGCAATTCTAGGATTTTATGATAAACCCATACTTTTTCTATTGATCGACGAACAGGAGCCAGAAAATATTGTTTGAAGAGAGTTTGCACTCCAGTTTTCCGCTATCTGTGATATGTTTCGTCTGACAAACTAAGCACACTGCCACTGCTCCACCAAGAGGTCACTGCCGCGGGAAAGTACAAAGCTGGTGGGAAATGAAAGCCAACAAGCAGCTCTGAACCACAATTCACCTTTACATTTGGCTTGATGACAAAACTGAATCACTCTCAGAGTGCAAGGATTACCTAGAGCAAGTGCGCTGAAAAAAATAAATGATACAATAATAACTCGGACAGACTCCAATACAAGCTGTGCTATCAGAAATGTGCAATTGAACATTTGCCAGAGCAGCAGCTACTTCTATAACTCTTGCCCTCTTTCTTTAAAATAGTTTTTACTTAGTTGCGTAGGACAAAGCATATACAATTGTATCAATATATCAGAAAGACAAGCCTAGGGCAAATTTAATTGCCTGAGCAGAAGCTGTGCAAGCAAATTTGCTTTGGGAAGCTAAGGCCAGGATCCAAACATCTAGTTTAGATGCATCACAGATTTGCAGAATCATACAGTTGGAAGCGACCCAAAGGGTCTGTCTAGTTCAAGCCACTGCAGTGCAGGAGTCACAGTTAAAGGCTCATGTGTGCTTAAGTTATTTCCCCACATAGTTTCTCCCCATACCATGTCACAAATCTCTTTTGATTTGACTCGCATGCTTTACACGATGGGAAGGAGCATAAAACCTTCAAGAAAAGAAAATCTAAAGCTTTCTTGGGTGCACACAACTGGTTCTGGGGTTCTCTGCATCCTATTGGAAACCTGTCTCCACTGAAGCAATAGTATGTCAAGCGGTTTCATACACGGAGTGGAAATAATTTCATAATTTGTTTTTAATTTGCTTATCATATCCTAGAATCATGGCTGGCAGGGACCATGAGGGTAATCTACAGTATTACAACCCCGAGCAATGCAGGAATCCTGCCCACAGCCAACCCTAGGTGGATCACAGGGTGGTTTACAATATAAAAACACAAAAATACACCACACAGTAACAAACAAAAGCAATAAACCTACCCACCCACCCAGTTTAAAAGGCAATAGATTGCTTAATTAGCAATATCCTGGGAAAAGAGGAATATTTTTGCCTGGAACCTAAAGATACAGGTGAAACTCAGAAAATTAGAATATCATGGAAAAGTTCATTTATTTCAGTAATTCAACTTAAAAGGTGAAACTAATATATGAGATAGACTCATGACATGCAAGGCGAGATATGTCAAGCCTTTATTTGCTATAATTGTGATGATCATGGCGTACAATATTAGACCTCTGAGAAGCAGAAGCATGCATATGTACTCAGTACTTGGTTTGGGCCCCTTTTGCATCAATTACTGCCTTAATGTGGCGTGGCATGGATCCTATCAGCCTGTGGCACTGCTGAGGTGTTATGGAAGACCAGGAAGCTTCAATAGCAGCCTTCAGCTCTTCTGCATTGCTCGGTCTCATGTAGTAATTGATGCAAAAGGGGCCCAAACCAAGTACTGAGTACATATGCATGCTTCTACTTCTCAGAGGTCCAATATTGCTCTATTTGCAATCCTTGTTTTGCTGATTTCATTTAGTATTCTAATTTTCTGAGATTGTTAATTTGGGGTTTTCATCAGCTGTACGCCATGATCATCACAATTATAACAAATAAAGGCTTGACATATCTCGCCTTGCATGTCATGAGTCTATCTCATATATTAGTTTCACCTTTTAAGTTGAATTACTGAAATAAATGAACTTTTCCACGATATTCTAATTTTCCGAGTTTCACCAAGGCACCAGGTGAGCCTCCCTGTAATATCTGTAAAGTTTATGTAAAAAGGGATAAAGCTTTCAAGGACAGACTATTCCATCAAGCCTAGGCATATGCACACACAGAAAGCCGAACCCAGCTTTCTGGATTGATCTGCATACATATAGCTGTTCTGTATATCGTACAAACATCATTTGTCATTATGTGTACAAGCTAGGTTTATGCTTTAGTGACCCGTCAGTGTAAACCAATTACAAAAATCTCTTCTTGTGTGCTTAAACTTGATCAACTTAATTAATGATAATCTCCTAGCAGCCCTTTCAATTGTTGACTAATCATATGTCATACAGCTGGTGTCCATGTACACTCATACATTAAATGGAAATGCGATATGGTTGTTCTGTTTGCTGAATTAGATGAACCAGGGCAGCAGATGATTAAGAAATAGCAGAAAGACAAGAGGTTTGTTGCTAGAACAAGATTAGTTATCAACATCAGTTGATGTTATCAGTTAACATCTTGGAGGTTTGCTTGTTTTCCACAATCATGCAGTATATAAATTTTATGACATATATACACATGCAGCAAGGTAAATGAACAGAAAAAAGTGTTTCCTGTATTTGAAGTTTTGCAACCATGTTATAATAATTTTGTTCAATTTAATTTGGCTGTCTTGCTTGCTAACAAAAATATCAATTAAACACACCTGTTCAAGAAGTTCTTTGTAAGTTATAAACTCTTTAGCATTTGTTACAGGACTGTCATGGATGATAGCAATCTGGTCCCCTTGTCCATTCTTGACATGGCGATCTATAGCATTATAACAAATATTCAGCTCTCCCCCAACAAACCTAGAGAGGAAAAAAGAATGAAAATCGCTGGGTTAAAAAATAAATCTTGCCAAATGAGAATTAGTACCTTGTTCTTTGCCTCAGGCAGCAAAATACTGTGTGCCAACCCTACCACTAACCATCCAACCTCTTGACCTTCCTTCCCAACATGCCTTGCATAACTTTATAGTATGGGTATGGAGTTGCGAACTAGCCAGAAACAAAATATCCTAATACATTTATGGAACCTTAACAGGTTTCTGACCTGCAGAAATCAGCAAATGAAGCTTTGCATGGCATGGAGATAAGGATTATCGCAATAGCCTATATAGATATGTCTGTATCTATTTTAGAACCTGAGCAAAGAAAGCCACAGTATTAATCATAATTAATCATAATTTTTTGCACAAAACTTCCTTATTAACTATTATGGTTTCTAGAATATAATGACTCCGCCTAAGAATATATAGATGCTAATTTTACAACATCCAAGTCATTATCTTCTTCTCACACGATTAAAAACATCATTATCCCTGTAGATATGATGCTATGTGTACATACAGAGCAGTTCTTCTGAATCTCTTTATCTTCCAGAATAAATTATAGGTTTTTCCTATCTCTTAAGGCCAGCATACACAATACTATTGTTGTACACCCAATAATCACCTCTGGATACACATTCATGTGGATGTATGTAAACCGTGTAATGGCAGTTAGCAATTCTTTGATCGAGGCAGCGGTATTTTTTTCAGCCTTGTGAAATCAGCAATTGCAGACAATATTAGCTGAATATGTGCATCTATCAACATTCTAAAGAATGGGGAAACTACAGAGATATGTAATATCAACAACTAAAGTATTGTTTGGATCACCTCTTACTGATTTTTTTTTTTTTTTGGTCAGGTCATAATACCAAGCAAAATGACCAGCAGGCTGTAAGAACATAGCCATCCCAACCCAAGTCCTCCCAGTAAGGACAAAGTTCCACTGTAGTTTGAATATTAGTTCAAGTTAAACATTGTGCAGTTCTGTCCTTGACCACATTTGGTAAGGTCAAAACGTTAGGACAGTTCTTTTTATCAGCTATGGCGAGTCCAGAAATGGATGTAAGATGGACTAGAATTCATCTGCACTGGCCAGTTTTCAGGAATCTCATATGCACTGAAATGTGCACCTGAATACTACTAGTGCCTGCAAATTAGCCTCCGCCAATTCTTCACCCCACTCACAGAAGCCCACATGATAGGAATAACCTGCCAAACTGGAGGTATAACATCAGTGCAGGATTCTCCTGCGTCACATCATTCCTAATTTGAGAAGCTATCTTCTAATTTGAGAAGCTATCCCCAATGCACTAAAGTGGATGGGAAGTCCAAATGTCTCTGTACTACCCTTGAAATGGCAGGGGGGGGGGCAATACAAGATGGAGTTACGGTGGTACCTCAGGCAAAGTACTTAATTGGTTCCGGAGGTCCGTTCTTAACCTGAAACTGTTCTTAACCTGAAGCACCACTTTAGCTAATGGGGCCTCCTGCTGCTGCCATGCCGCCAGAGCACGATTTCTGTTCTCATCCTGAAGCAAAGTTCTTAACCTGAAGCACTATTTCTGGGTTAGCGGAGTCTGTAACCTGAAGCGTATGTAACCTGAGGTACCACTGTATATAGAAACTTATCTGCAGTGCTCTAAAGAGAATTTTACCTTTGCTTGCTGCTGCAGATCCTACAACATTAACTCAAGAACCAGTTTAGATATTTCTTAACCCCCCCCCCCTTGCAAATCACAAGATGTGGCTCATGTTGCATGGGGAGTGGTGGGAGATTCTGGACAGACAAGAGGAAGTGCTTCACCCACAGCACACAGTTCAACAATAGAATTTACAATGACTTGGCTATATTTTTGATAATGGTTGCTCATCAGGTGATTAGTAAACACTGGGAAACTGGCCTAGGGCTAACATTATCCAGGTGGTACATAAGGATCTGGCCAACTGCTTTAGCTGAAACGTTAACAGGCTGAAGACTGAAGGATATGAAAGGTTAAAAAGATGACTTTGACACAGTTTGGTTTTATTTCATTTGTATGAGACTTTTATTAAAGTTAATCATAGTACAATAAGATATAGAAAACTAATCTAAATTTTTAAAAATGCAAATAGAATAATAGAATATGGAATCATCTTTTAAAGGTAGTTCTTGACCCTTACTATACACAGAAGGTAGTAGCCCTTCCAGCTCTCACCTGGAATCTTTCCTTCCTCCTCCTAACCTCTCAGCCTGGGAGACCAAAATTTCCCTGTCTCCCATTCAGGCTCTTCCCTCAACTACAGTGATGAACACCAATTTAGATGGGTTTATAATGGCAGTAATGTGCTATCTCCGTGATTAGAGGCCGTATGTCTCTTAATATCAGTTGCTATGAAACTGAAGAAGGAGAGGCCTACTGCCCTCATGTTGTTCTTGTAGAGGCAACTAGTTGGCTGGCAACTGTGGGAAACAGGATCTTAGTTAAAAGAGGTCTTTTGTGTGATCCAACAGGTTAGTAATAATCAGCGGCGTAGCGTGGGTTGTCAGCACCCGGGGCAAGGCAAGTAATTTGCGCCCCCTAACCCCTAACCTGCCGCCGCTGCCAGCTTCTTCTTGCTGCTGCCTGGGCTGGTCTGGTCTGGTTCTCTCCCGCGCTCAGCGCTGCGCTGGGCGGCAGCTGCACTGTCCCTCCCCTCCCCCCAGATAGTCCCTCGCTCTCGCTCCGCCCCGCCCGCCTGGCACCCACCCCCTCCACAGTGGGCGGTGACCCAGCGGCTCGGATCGGATTTGCACAGCCAGCACTGCAGTGAGAGAGAGTGAGTGAGCCAGGTAGGGGCAGAGAGCTGCGAGTGCGAGCGCGCCCCCCCCCAGATGTTGCGCCCGGTGCGGCCGGCCCCCCCTGCACCCCCCACGCTACGCCACTGGTAATAATATATTTTTGGCAGTCGTGCTGGAATACAAATGCTCCTTTTCTGTGCATATCAGAAGGTGCTTATAAATATTATACAGCATTGTAATGAGTAACAAACAAATCCCAGGTGCATAATCCAATGGCTGTGCTTGTGACATTTCTAGCACACATTAAAAACAAAACAGAACACCCAAGTCCAACAGAATAATCTTCATGGATCTTTTAAAAAAAATCTAAATGACTGCAAAGTCCAGCAGTTCTTTGTTCATAAAAACAATCCAAGAGGCTCACAACAGAGCAAAACCAGAAATTAAAGATAAAGCCTAAATCTGGCAACAGACAGGAAGCCTTTTGGTTTTTTCCTTAACCTGGTGTGTGTGTTCATGCATGCATGTGTAAAAGAGAAAGAAATCTATAAGCAAGCGATGCTATGCAGCAAGAACTAGCTAATGTGATCTGCACAGAAACAACAGAATTAGGAAGCATCATTGTTTTAAACAAAAGCAAACACCAAGATCCAGAAGAAATTGTCAGCTGGTATAGTAGCGCAACACTTCAGGCCATTTTTTGGCACAAAGAGGACAGATCAGTGTGATTTTTCATTCTAAGCACTAGCAGGGCTTTTGTTGCACTGCCCACTGTGATCCAAGCCAATTTTGCTTGTATTCCTTTTACCCACAAGAATTCTTAAGTACACACTCAGTATCATATTGCAGAACTAGCTGGAACATATCCAAGGGAAAGCATATTATTGTTCAGAGGTGCTTTCCTTTCACAAGAGATTAAAGGAAAATAAATACAGAAGAAAAAGGATAATCTTACATAAATTATACGAGATAGTTCTCTGTTTAAGTACCTGATAGGATATATTAGTAGTGGTTTATGGAACACAGGAAACTGAGTTTATTGTCTACAGTGACTGGCAGTAGTGAGGTTTTCAGACAGGGGACATTCCCAGCTCTACCTGAAGATATTGAGGATTGAACCTGGGATCGATCTACTGCATGAAAAGCAGAAGCTCTACCACTACATGGGAATATATATATAAATATATAGATAGATGAGGTTCAAGACAGCCTACGAGCCATGTTCTGTACTCTTAGATGCATGTGGGCCAGCCAAAATCTGACAAGTCACTCCTGCTCTTAAATTGTCCAAGCAAAATGGCATATCTTAACCCGGCACCAAAATGAGAAAAAATGCTGAACTTAGATATAACTCAGTCAGTGAAGCATGAGACTCTTAATATCATGGTCATGGGTTTGAGCTCCACGTTGGGCGAAAAATTCCTGGGGTGCAGGCGGGATTGGACTAGATGATTCCTGTGGAATCATCTAGTCCAACTCTACAATTCCGTGATTCTAAGGCGAGGGTATTACACAGCCAGAACACCACTGCAGAAAAGGCTCTCTCCAGTGCCACCACATAGCAATTTCCCTGGGTGATGGAAATCTGCTTGAGTGTCATCAAGATACTCACTCCAAATTCTCTGTTGATCCCCACTCAGTGCCCTCATAGAGATGTTACAGAGCATAGGGGACAAGATGGAACCCTGTAGCACTCCAGAGCACAAGCACCACAGGCCCAAGCAGAAATCCTCCCATGTCACTTCTGAAATTAATCCTATGGGTAGAAGCAGAACCATCACGTCAACATGCTCTCAACTCCCACTCCCATCCAGGCAGGTACAATGGTTGATGCTGACAAAAGCTGCTGTGAGAATCAAGAGGGTCACACTCCCCCTGTCCCTCTCCCATCCAAGGTCATCCATCAGGGTAACCAAAATTGTAACAGGGCCAAAACCAGGCCTAAATCCAGATTGCATGGGTCCAGATAATCAGATTCCTCAAAATGCACCTGGAAATGAACCGGCCCCACCTTCTCAATCGCCTGGTCCAAAGAGGCATATTAACAGCCAGGTGATTGATAGTCATTATAATCTCCTCTGTTCAAAAGGGACTTTTTAAGGAGCAGCTGTGCAACCACCTGGGTCAGCATGGCGGGCACCCCTTTCCTGGCAGTAAGCATTTGCTGTCTCTAGGACCCACCCAGCAAATCCCTTCTGGCTAGCACTTAATAGGAAGAGCAAGAGTTGGTTGCCTTGCTAGCTTTATTTCAATGTGCCTTTTGCAGCAGTCTGCTAGGCAAAAATTCAACAGGTGACGCACTTTCTCCCAGAAACGGGAGGTGAAATGATGCACCGAACAGGAGAGTTGGAAGGCGTCTCACGGGTCCTCTAATCCAACCCAGCACCGATGCAGGAAACCCGCGACTACAGCACAGCACCGGTTGAGTTTCTGCCTGTCCCTGAGGTGGAGCCCAGCGAGGGTTTGGTCCAGCCACTCACCAGGAGGTGCTATAGGGATCTCTCCTCTGCATGGTTTGAGCCCAGGGTTTGTGCCAGTCGATGCCCTGAGCCGCTTCAGCCCAGTGTTTCTCGGGCTCCTCCACCGACGCCCTGAAAACCGCCTCGTAGTCGCCTCCAGGAGCGGCTGGCCGCGAGGACAACGAGCGGCTGAGCGGGAGAAGGAGCCGGGCTGCAGGCGGGCACCTCGTCCAGCGACTCGGGAAAGCGAGCGGAGGGACGCGCCGGAGTCCCACCTGCGGAGCCCAGAGAAGGCCTCGGGCGCTGCGAGCAACTTGGTGCAGCCAGACTCTCCGGCACTGCTGGGCGCTCATGGTTCGCTGGCCGCCCCGAGGTGAAATTGCAAAAAGAACCCTCAAACTCGAGCGCCCTGAACTACACACTTTTGGAGCCGGGGAATCTTATTAATTCCCTTTTCACAAAGTCAGTAGGAAGAGCCGAGCTGGATTCAAGACCAAAGATTAGGACCTGCTGCTCCTTCCACCCACTTTGGTGTTTACAAACGACCAGTTTGCAGGAGCTCCAGTCCGGGCTTTGGTGTCGGCTCCCCAGCCCGCACTTTGTTTTGTAGCGAGGAGGCCCTCTGGGATTTGCTTAGGTTGCATAATGTCGCCCACCGACCTCTGGGGCTCAGGATACTCGGCCAACTTTCCCTCTGTTATTACTGCTCCAAGTTTGCTAAGTGCCTGGAAGTATGTGGACGCGGTTTAGGATAGTCCCTGCTTCTCCCTCACTTCGCAGATTCAGGAATTCGCCTTTCCTTCTTCAAGATCCTTTTTAAAATCATGGCAATCTGCTTTCAGAGGCAACGGCGTATTTAAAACTCGCCCAGCGATACCACATTTCTTTCCTGATTTGTTTCGTTCTCTACAAACGGCAGTTTTCCATTACCTTGAAAACAATTTTCATTCCTGTCCACTTCCAGCAAGTGCACTTCATTTTAAAATAATAAGATATATTAAAACCATATTCCATCATTAAAAAAAAAACCTATTACAATTTATCTCCATTATCAACCTTTATCGAGGGAGAATTAGAGAGGATTAGGTCGATATGGAGACACCACAACAGGGGCATATATTTTATCCAGAACAAGGGATGCGTTTGACATTTTGAATAAAATTAGATTTGCCAGATAAAGGCATTTCAGACACACCAGTTTCAGAGAGATCTCACCATGGAGGGATTCCATGAACTCACCATGGACTCTCACTGTGTGTGAGAAGATGTGTGGATCCACTCACAGAGAAGGCTGTTACTATTATATTTCATAATTTAGGAGTGCACCAACCCAAATAGGTCTTAAAGGACTAGGAGATAAACAGTGCCAGATAAACAGTACCTTTAGAGCAGGGGTAGGCAACCTAAGGACCGTGGGCTGGATGCAGCCCAATCGCCTTCTCAATCCAGCCCACGGACGGTCCAGGAATCAGCGTGTTTTTACATGAGTAGAATGTGTCCTTTTATTGAAAATGCATCTCTGGATTTTTTGTGGGGCATAGGAATTTGTTCATTTCCCCCAAAAAATATAGTCTGGCCCCACACAAGGTCTGAGGGACGGTGGACCGGCCCATGGCTGAAAAAGGTTGCTGACCCCTGCTTTAGAGGCACTAAGTAATGCTGCTTGCTTTATTTATTTATTTATTTATTTATTTCCTTCCCACCCATCTGGCTGGGTTTTCCCAGCCACTCTGCGCAGCTCCCAACAGAATATTAAAAACACGATAAAACATTGAACATTAAAAACGTCCCTAAACAGGGCTGCCTTTAATTCAATGCAGACTAGTACCAACCCTAAAATAAAAAAATGAAATAAAGCAGATTTATTGCAACACATGACAGGATCAGATTTCCTCACATTGTTCCCATCTACGTCTGTAGAATGCCCTGTGGTTTATGCTGGGATAAGTAATAAGAGAACAGAAAAATGGGGGAAGAGTGTGGAGTGTAAAGAAGTCTTAACAAAGTTCTGATTGTTCCCATGAAAACTACGTCAATGCTCCTTTTAAATATCAAATGTCAAATTCTTTCCCTCCCCCCCCATTTATTAATTTTTTTACTGGTGCCCTAAGCACACGCTTAGCCTGCCTATTGGGTAATGCAGCAGGGGAGATAAACTTTCACCAATGTGCTGTACTTTTGCAAAGGAGCACTGACACCAGGGGTAGTCTTTTCGAGAATCACATTTCTCCATGGCGAATACTGAGTATTCCAGGAAGGTAGAAGCATTTCATAACAAGTCCCCAACTGTGACAATCGGCAGGAAAACTTTTCGAACAGGCAAGGTTGCTATGGGAACACCTAAATAAAAACCTGAAAGAACACTGCTGATATGGGTGCTGTTGCACCTTAACCCTTAATGCCCTGTTGCAGGATCAACTGGTACGTGGTGTGTAATATGAGTGGCTAATAGGCAAAAGTAATTCACTGTGTGTTGTTATAGTACAACGGTGTACAGTACATGTCTACTCGGAAGTTAAGTCTCTTTGTGGATAAGAAGGCTTTTCGCAGGTAAGTGGGCACAGGATGGCAGCCTAGGGTTGGCATTTGGGAAACAGGGTTCTTGTGCCATTAGAGCTAGGGGCCAGGCAGAAATTCAACAGGTTATGCCTTTTCTAGTATGGGAATACAATTATGGGTAAAGTTTCCCCATGATTCTGCTCTCTATTATTTGTTTGTTTACAAAAACATTTATATACCGCTATTCATTTTAAAAAATCAGAGCAGTTTGCAACAATTATATGTAAAACCGACAATAAAAAGCTTATAAAAAATGTTAAAATCAGAAATCAGCTAACTGTTGTGGAAAGACATATTCTTAATTGGCCATATAAGCCTGATGGAATACATAAGCTTTCAGCAGGCATGTAAAAGTTGAAACAGAAGGTGCCTGTTGAATCTCTATTGGCAGAATATTCCACAATACTGGACCTGTTCTGTGTTATGCCCTGCCCACCAAATGGCAGCCATTTTTTGACCAGTGCCACCCCACAGTATTCTCCCATTGCTCCAAAAACGTTGGCAATCCCTGGAGTGGACAGTAATGGAGCAAGAAGAAAACTGACCCAATAGTAGTATTGTGTGTTCCAGCCATGGTGAGGTGCGCACTTCAATCTGTGGTATTTCACTAATGTAAAACATTCCTAATAATTAAAGGTAAAGGGACCCCTGACCATTAACTCCAGTCGTGACCAACTCTGAGGTTGTGGCACTCATCTCGCTTTATTGGCCAAGGGAGCCGGCGTACAGCTTCCGGGTCATGTGGCCAGCATGACTAAGCCTCTTCTGGCGAACCAGAGCAGCGCACGGAAACTCCGTTTACCTTCCCGCCAGAGTGGTGCCTATTTATCTACTTGCACTGGCATGCTTTTGAACTGCTAGGTTGGCAGGAGCAGGGACTGAGCAACGGGAGCTCACCCCGTCGCGGGGATTCGAACCGCCGACCTTCTGATTGGCAAGCCCTAGGCTCTGTGGTTTAACCCACAGCTCCACCCGCGTCCCTGTTAAAGGTATAATTCAATGCAATTTAGTTATGGCACTCAGAGTCTACTGACAAGGGCATGGAGAATGCCCTTTTGACAGCTTTAGTAGCGATTTGCCTATGGTACAATGCATACCAAAAAGTACATATCACCAAACTGTCGATAACATACATCAACCAGTGGTTGCTGGTGCCCATTGGGACTGGTGGGGTGGAAGGCAGGAGGAGCAACAGTAGGTGGAACTACAGCCAAACACATGCGGAGCCAAGTAATTCTAGTTTTGTCCCCATTCTCCACCCTGTTGAGTTTGACAAGGACAACACTGAGACCAAGGTGGAAGAAGCAGACAACCAGGCTTGTATATAAGATAGCAGGGTGGGCTTTGAAAGAATCAAGACTGAGCTTGGCAAAGCTGTGCTCCTTTTGCCCTAATGGACTGGCCTCCACTGACACCAACCAGAGCCATTTCTACTAAATTCACTCATATCTGAATGTCGGATCTCTCCCACACATAGCTCTCCCTTCTAGCAAATCTTCATTCACTGGATGGCAGTAAAAAATCAACGCATAACCAGCGTCCTCTTTAAGTGATCTCCATCTTTCTTTTTCAGGTGATCACAGCATGGTGCTCAGAAAGCTGCTGTCTCAAGTCGTTTGAGTAATAGCAAACTTAAAGGCAGCAAAATACAGAGCAACAAAACGCATTTCACAAGCCAATTTGTTTGTTTATTGGATTTATACACTGCCTTCCTGACAATGCACTCAAGGCGGTTTATAATTTAAACACTAAAAATAAAATAAAAACCCCATTATATAAAGCAAAGACTGACAGAGTCTTCTCATTTCATCTAGCTGTTCCCTGACCTGGGCTCCCTTGCTTATGCCTTCCCTCAGGGCATGCAGGTCTTTAGCAGCCCCCAGCAAAGGTGGGAGAGGAACTGCCTCAATTTTGACGCATTTTTGTTATGTTCTAACTCAAAGATATGCTTGATGATTAGTTATGAATGAAACCCTGAGCATGTATGTTCCATTATTGCTAAATGAATTATTACTAAATGAATAAGCTAATCAAAGGAAGTAGTAATTACAATACTACACATAGTAAAGCAAATTAAACTGGAATTTGGGTCTGTTTCCATCGGTGAAGTACACACAACATTAAAAGCAGCAAAGCATAGTTATTTATTTTCTACCATATGTTTAAATTTGTCTGCTTATTACTTTTCCAGTGATGTTCAAATTTACAGATGTGATATGTGCTGGTTTTCTTTCCCCTGAATTCTTTAGGAGGGAACAATGTTTCTCTACAATAAAATTGGTATGGGTGTGTAATGAAGAAACATTCTACAAACTCATTTGAACCTGCAAATGAGTTTGTATAATGTGAATTAATACCACTACACATCATTTCCAATGGCAATTAATTGACAGTATGCTTCTTGGAATCTTCTTGGACCTCACATCTATCTGAAAAACAGCAATATTTGCTCCAGTTGTAAATGTTTCTAAATGGAAAGAGTCAGGAGAATCATTGATTGGAAGTACAACAGAAAACACTAAGCATGCTCAGTTGTCACACCTGTATCAATAACTCAAAGATGAATTTGAAAATCACTGGATTGGACTGTATGAAGAATGCACACCTGCAAACCTTATCTAGGTCAAAATGACAGGAGGTTTTTTGTTTTTCTAAATTAAGAGCACAAGCCTGCCAAACATTGAACACATTTCAAACAAATTGCACTTCCTTGTTTCAGATCTGTGCTTCAAGCTCAGCAAATTGGCCACGGATGGTCTGGCTCTGAGCAGCTTGGAAGTCTATCCCCACAGTA